GCGGCTACCAAGCTCCATACCGCAGTTTCGACAAGCGTCCACAGTCGTATGCTCCGCCTCAGGATCAATATCAACAACCATCGCAACCATACCCTAACCTTGCACAACCGCCACCGAATACTTCGTATCCAAATCCAGCCTCGCCACAACTACAGCGCCAAGTTTCGAATCAGCAATATCCCCCACAACAGTCTTCTGCATATCCACCACAAGCACCACCTTCCGACGCGGAAAGCGCAAGCTTCTACTATGGTGACAGCGCTGCTGCGCAACCCTCTCAACCCCCCATGCAACGTACTCAAAGCTACGGCTCTCAACCTTCGCAGCAACAGCAACCTCCTTCTCCGCAAGCATATGCTCGTGCTCCACCGCAGCAAACGCCCATTTCACCACCCGCACAACCTACGACTGCGTGGCAGAACCCACCATACCCCAGACAAGACCAGCCACAAGCTTCTCAGCAGGCGCCGCAACAAGCACCCCCACAGCAACAACAGCGACAGCAGGCTCCACAGCAGTCAGCGCTGCCACCACAACAGTACTGGCAACAGCAGCAACAAGCGCCTCAGCAGGCTCCACAGTCTTCGGCGTGGCAGGCAGCACCTTACGCGACAGGTGGGTATGGACCTGAGAGTTTCCCATCTGCACCGCAGAATCAGTTGCCCGCTCAACAGCAGAAGGCTGCCGATGAGCCTTTGATTGATTTGTAGAGAGGTAGACTGGGCTCTTTCCCGAGCTAAAGGTTTGCTTTGGGAAAATGACCAGCAAGTTCTGGGTTACGCGCTTCGTAATGGAACGGCGCGATTGACCGTCTCCAAAAAGACTGGTGACAGGATCGTTCTTTGAGCTTCGTCATCGTTTGTAGGCATTTACGTCTTAACATAATCTCAAATATCACCGGCGTAACACCAACTTTGCGCCGTCTTCAACAACCGATAATGACGTGCAGACGAATATATCTGTAACTATACATGTTCTCCATACTTTCTACTTGCACACTTATGTAAATCGATAAGCCTCTCTTGATGTCAGTATCGTTCACTCAGATATTTAGCCCAAATCTCTCCAACTCTTTCATAGCGCGACCTTCACAAACAGCCCTCACCCATCTATCTTCTATTCTACTCTCCTCTACAGCCCCCAACACAAAATTGTCCAGTTCGACATACCCCCAATGCGGTGCTTCAAGCCTCACGATAGCCCAGCTGCTGTGACACAACAACGGCGCCCTTGCCATGCGTACGTCTGGTTGCATCCAGTCATCTTGCTTGCCTTCTGTGTCCGGCCCGGGTTTGAGATAACTATCCAGTCTATCGACATGTGTACCTCGTGCTCGTGATATATGACCATCCGGCAAAAGAGGAAGTAAAGCCTCACACATGGACTGTGCTCCACTAGAAAGAGGAAAGCTTGGTCCAGATTTAGGTCGATTCCGCTCATTGCTGGCGGTTGAAGTCTGGGATGTTTGAGTGACAGAATTGTAGGTCTGTGTTGAGATGCCATAGCCCATTCTGTTTTGTCCGAGGATGTTGATTAGTCGCGTCACTTCCGCTCGTTCGGGATGTGGAATGAGGAACTCAAAATATGCTCTGCTTTTTGTTTGCTGGTATAGCGGGATGGTTATGTAAGGGAACGTAGAAGTTAAGCCCCAGGTTTGCGTGCAGGTGGTTGCGACTCCACCATCGTCGATGCGGAGCGGGATCACGCCTCGCTCTAGTAATAGCTTAAGTGCCCACCGCTGCGGTCTCTTATACCTTGCCTGTAGTGTGGAAATATACTCGGTGCGGAAAGGTGTATGCTGGGGTGCGATCTCACGCTCATGAGCTAGGGTGATGAGCCCATACAATGTAGACCAGTCTTTTGTTAACCAGGGCTCTTGCCATGCTTCTGCTAGTTCTCGCTCTTCCTGTTGTGTCGCTGAGATCTTCAGGCGACGGCGGTGGGTAAAATGGTCAACTATAAGAATAGAGATGGAGAGGATGAGAAGTGGGAATGTGCTGGGTTTAGTGAAGCTATAGGGGGTCACGGCGGGTCGCTGGCCGAGTGTGCGATTTCGTCCGATCATCACGGATGTTGTTGCTCTTGTGACGAATGCTGTGATTGTTGAAGTTGTGGCCATCGTTGCTGTGTTAGACATAAGATACCTACCACGTAGAACAGCACATATGCATCGTCCAGCTAGTTAAGCCTTCCAGTAAGCGTTAATGTTGTATCGAGGTGTTCATGTCGGTTGTGTAGGCTTTGTATGCTAACAGTCTGACCTGTTCGTCATTGAAACATAGGTTCTTTTGCCCAGATCCGGCATGTTGTATCGCTTTGTTCGTTTGTTCGGGAAACGCTGTAGTTGCGTATTGTCCCTACATTCAGGATGACAATGAGCATGCAAATCCAGTTTTTCAAGCATTGGAGATTGCGAGGCAACCTGGCGTGGAGTTTGGCAAGATTCAACAATCTTTCATTGTTTAGACGAAGCCTGGCTCCAAGCGTTGTTTCATCCAAATTCCTATCTCTTGTAATTGTGGGTTCTGTTCTACATCCGCGTCTGGTTGAGTCCAAAGACCTACGCCTTCGTGCGAATCTACTTCTACTCGCCCCTTGGCGATATCTTCGTATTGCCTCTTCTCTGCCGCATCAAGCCATCTCGACCGGCCAGAATGCGATTTCAGAATTTGACGCGCAATGCTGCGTTGTAGCATCCTCGCCAGCTCGTGTGTGGTATCGGATAGCGGACTCTGCAGGCCAGTAGTAATGTTCCACACTGGTAAGCTTAGTGGCATGGTACCACCTGGGGGGTAGTTTCGCGCGTAAGCACGACATCTGCTCAACGTGGGTATTGCTGGCGGGGCTTTGACTGCTTCTTCAAAAGTAGCATAGTGGTTGAGGGCCATCTGAATCTCGGGGTCGAGGGGCTGTATATCGGGTTGCAGCGACGCGAAGATGTCGTCTTGTGGTGGAAAGGTTAGTTGGGCATGGGGAGAACGAAAGAAGTGGATGGGTGAAGCGAATCGATCGAAATAGTCTTGTGGCTTCTTGAAGAGGACGTCACGCTGCTCCGACAGAGTCCTAGCAGGTATGATTGTGTTGTCTCTGTTAGCCTGCCAAGACGTCGGAGGTGGTGTTTTTGGGGAACGTTTCTTGGGTCGCTTGCGTTCAGTTTGCAGGTTTTCTACAGCTTCACGAATCGCTAACGAACCAGCCAGGTCTTCGTCGGCAGGAAGTTGTGTTTCATCGCCATACTGAGGCTCTGGGAGATCTTCGGGTTGGATGACTGCAAGCTCGTCTGGGAATACCCAATCTACGATTGGGTTATTGACAGCTGCGGCACCAATCCGACTCTCTCCAAGGCGGCACTCTGTCAGGGCCAGCATCGTTGCCAAGGAGCCGCCTACGAGTTCTCCGCATACACCAAGACGGGCTAGATAGGGTCGCGAGAATTCATCGATAAGCAAATGCTCGCAGACCCAGTCATAACCGAGCAATACATCATGACAAGGTGTAGGATATTGGTTCAAGGATGATGCGCGGTAATTGATGCGGACAACAGTCGCAGCACTTGAGTCTTGTAGCGTTGTTATCACGCGCTCCTCATCTTCCAGGCTTTTCTCTACCACTGGCCCTGGAGGGAGGTAGAGTAGGATCGGAGCCGAAGATTTTGGCGCACGGAACACGCTGTAGGAGCTCTGTTAGTATGTACACGACAAGCCAAGATGACGCCCAGAAGTCACGATCTCAAGATACTCGCTTAGGGTGGGGCATGGTGTTGGATTATGGAGGAGTCGAGCACCGTGAGGTCATCGCGCAGCATCGCGGGCTGTTTACCCGGGCGAATGCAACGACGAGAGCGCAAGAAGGAGCGACCAACAACGTCATGTGAAGAAATAGACGAGAGGCATACTTACTCAACTGTAAAGGAGCCGTTTGACCGAGAAGGGATCTCGACCCGTTCACATGGTGGTGGAGCGGTGACGGCCGAGTAAGGGCGTGTGAGAAGAGCGCATGAACCAGTGCGAAAGGCAAGACGCGACAGTTGGGGTGACGATAGGGCAGTGGAAGCCTTTAGACAGGAGTATCGCAGCATTAACGTGGAGCATGCAAGCGATGGTGGGCACAGTGTAGTCACAAGGCGCAAGGCGGGCAAGGCAAGCAAGAGGGAGAAGAGACCTCAGTTCGCTTGGGGTGTGTCGCTTCCCGAATCGGATGCGGTAGTCGGTAGGCGGTAGTTAGTAGCCGCCCTAGGGGAAGGGGTGACGGCCGCAACCCAAGCGCATCGACGACGAGCTCCGACCTCATGCAATTCGAAATTTGCGTGCGCGAAATACGAGTACGTGCCAGCGAATGCGAAAAGAACAAAAGACGTTAGTAGAGCTGTCAACCATCAACGAATGTCCGGTAGTGCTCAGGGGGGAAGTGGTGCGCGGGTCAGTATGTGGCGCGGCCTGCAGGGAAATTAGTTTAGCTGCTTTCAACCCCGAACTGGAGCTGGTCTGGTGCAGTCCACAACCCGCAAGCCTGATTCCATTTCTACGCCGCCTCCGCTCCCTGGTGCCGACTTGTCTTTCATTCTTGTCTGTCCTTGACCGCTGTGCTGCGCTGTGTGCGATTCTCCTTGTGGTGCTCCAATCCCGACAGGCTCTCCCTCAACCTATCCTATCCCGCCTATCTGCGCCTACGATCCGCTTCACAGCCTCACACAGCCGCGCAGCACCACACTCGGTACCACCTAATGCATGCGCCTGCACACCTCGCCCGGTAATTCCTCTTAATATAGCCTTTTTCGAAGATTGGGTTGTGCGACAACAAACTCGTGGTTCCAACATAGCAACCCCCCGAAACGCTTGTCGCGACGAGCCCCGACCGCCAGTCTGACACGTGCTTTTTCATACAACGCATCCACGACACACCTCAAACCTCTACAAGGCGGATACGCATACGAGAAACTGGCGGTTGCCGAGTAATACCTGGGAATTCTGCTTCGGGTCGTTGCCCGTTAGCTTATCGATATGGCGGAAGTATCCAAGCTCCGCGCAATTCTCACACTGTGCAAGAATCTGGTGCTGGCAGCATTGCTCTACGCAGCCATCTACGGTGTCATCACCTTCATAAACGACCCTTCCGTAGCCGCAAAGGGCAAGATTGGCATCCCTGCCTTCTTGGACAAAGCTGGGCCTACCGAATTGATCGAGACGACCAAGGCAGGAGTCAAAGTCAAGTTTGCGGGCACCACCAAGACCGTTACTATCAACCCTCACGCCAATGTCTTCAACCGTCCTATCACCGCTGTAAAGAACAAGGACGATTACTTGGGTCCCCGCCCCCATGTCGATACCGAGGCCGACATTGATATGCTGATTGAAGAGTGCCGGGGTACTTATGCTGGGATTGAGAAGATGAGGAGGCCGTTTGACTGTCTGAAGTTCTTCGCTGAGGGCGAGGACCGCTACTACAGCCTCCCAGAGCCCGCCGACCGAGCCAGTGCTTCAGACCCCCGCAAGGCCGACTTCATCGACGCCGACGGACACGGCAAGACTCTCGAGAACTATACACCTATAAAAGACGCGATTGCTGCCAACGGGTCCAACATCGGCACTTGCCCAGGTCCAATCATCCCGTTTCACACCTACTGGACCGGACCTGCTACGTGGAGAGTCGAGGCATTCATCAAGAGCTACCTCTACACCCAGAATCTGGCCTGCTCTCGTCTTTGGTTATGGCTCGACACCGATCACAACCCCAACGCGGTTGAAAACATGCTCAACAAGGACGCCCTATTCGCCCGATTCATTCCCCTGGTCGACAGAGGTGACATTGTTGTCAAGGGTTGGAAGTTCCCCAGCCGCATTCCATTGGCTACTGACAAGGAGGACAAGAACGGCTTCGACTACTACAGCAAACCTGGAGCGGTAAACGCCAAGGGAGAGAAGGATGTGGCCGAAAACATCATCGAAGACAAGACTGGTCAACAGTGGCTCGTTCTCACTCAAAAGCAGATGACCTTCCTTCCAGTCGCAGTTTCCGATGCCGTTCGTTTCATCGTGTTGCATATCTATGGAGGCGCCTACTTTGACATGGATGTTCTCATGCTCCGAGACATGCGACCGCTTCTACTACCAAAGGAGCACTCTTGGGCAGAGCGATGGGCTGCACACCCCCACCCTGGCGACTACAACACAGCCATCATGTCACTGTCTGCGAACTCCTCCCTCTCGTCATACTTGCTCTACGGCGGCATCAGAATGGGTGTCAACTTCCATCCACGCGTGCTTGGTCGTATGGCTTGGAAGGACGGACGCGATCAAGAGTTCAAGATGTTTGAGACTGCTGCCTTCGACCCTATCTGGACCGAGTTCAACTGGGACCGTGAGGGACGATGCACAGTACCATGCATCCGCGATTACAGCGCAGTCTTCAAGGGCAAGATTGGCGGCGTCAAGGATGAATGGGAGAGCTACGATGGACCCCAACTAGATCGCATCGACCTCAAGGACGCGCAACGCAAAGAGCTTAGGACGGCTGGCGATGCATTAGCCAAACGCGGGGAGGAAAATGTGCCCGCTTCTGCTGCTTTACCTACGCCCAATCACGGCGACAAAGAACATCCCGATTCGTTTCAAGCCACGCTTGACGAAGAGGCTGAGCTTCGCAAGGCCGGTGTGATTACTGATTACGTTTTGGCCGAAGACAAATTCCCACCCAACAACCGTACATTGGAGAACTTCTTCCGGGGTGCCTGGACCTACCACATCCACAATCAGGTAAGCTTACTCCGAAATTTCTCCCTTTGTCGCTCTCTCACATATGTGGTTGCCACCTCAACCCCGCTTTGGCGCTTCTAGCTCGTCTGTCCCTGCAGCAGCTAGCTTGGCAACGGCTCGTGTCTGGAGATCGCAAGCTAGTACTCTACAAAAGTAGAAAGAAGTCACGCTAACAATTTGTTACAGTGGATGAAACATCCTGAACCTTCGTCATGGATCTCGGTCCTCGAACACGCTCACGACGGGTTCATCGCTGGCAAGCGCACGAACGCTTATGGCGAGAAGTGGACGGGTCCCAGCATTATGCCATACAACTACTGGCCAGAGTATGTGTGAGCCTCCGGCTGAGCCGAACCTTAAGCCCCCTTCTGCGATGTTGAGAAGTCGAACATCAAGGAGGTTGCCGCGCCGAATATCGCGCTGTGACGACTGCGACTGGTTCTTACCAACGGCAAGTTACTCATTACGTCACACGATCACCAGCATACTCCGATGGACGTCCCTATATCACTCATCATCTCATCCAACACCACTTTATGGATCACGACAACGTCAAGTCATCTTCACCAAAATAAGCGCAGCATAAAGCCAGATCTACAGCTATCTGCTTTTGGAGTTCCCGGTGTTTACATGTATCTTCATTGTCCCGCTCGCTTTGGCGGCATATACCCTTCGTTTCTTGTTAGTCTTTTCATCATCGGTTTGGGCCGTTGATACTTGTCCTTTAGGGGCGCATGCGCCAGCCAAACTTAGGTTTCTAATTCGTCACATCAAACATAAGCAGAGAGATTTAACGAGGTGTCGTCATGGCCAGAACAAAATAGAAAATATTACATCCATAGACCTCTTTCTGAGTATGCTGCTGGTTGCGTCTAAATCATCACTCTGTTGGTCGCTCTCTCGACCTGTTGCGATGTCCGGTACATTCTCCTATTGATTTATATCTCTACAGTTTCACATCTATGCGGGTACGCCACCATCTAAACCAGATCCCTGAAGCTGCAGACGCTAATTCCAGGACCATTTACCTACTGTCACTGTTTGGAGGAAAGCACGCTCATGGAACAAATAGTCTCGGAAACAAGGCATTTACTCATAGGCAGGTAAATACATGCCGCAATCCAGAAAGAGAAACAATCATCTTCCGCAGTCAACTCATCGCATTACAACCCTCCCAATCACTTCTTCACCTTTTCAAAGCCCTCGAAGTTTGGCAGCTTGGCTCTGATCTCATCCGCATACGCCGGCAACCCTCCAGCGTAGTTGACCTGCTCGAAAGCCTTACCTGGCATACTCCCGCCCATATATGTACTCTTCGTTGTTGGGAAAAGACTCTTGTCGCTCAACTCATTGATGCGCGCCTTCCACTTCTTACTTGCATCGTCTGTCGGATTGACATACTTCAAGCCCTGTCGTTCAATCTGCTTAATAGCATCCACGATCCAGCGACCTTGTACTTCGACGCTCGTCGGACCATTGGAAAGAAGTGTCGGACCATGCGGACCTAGAATTTGGAAGCACAGAGTCAGTGTTTGTCTCACAAGCAGTTCATACTAGGACATGTCTCACCATAGAGATGGAACATATTCGGATATCCAGCGATAGTAGTACCGAGGTATGTATATGCCGCCTTCTTCCACTGAGACTGCAAAGTCACGCCGTCAATGTTCTTGAGACCCATAGATGTCATGCCGCCAGTAGTGATGTCAAAACCAGTAGCGATAACGACGACATCGAACTCATGGACTGTGCCGTCTTGCAGTTTGATGCCTTTGGAGGTAAAACCAACGATTGGGTTGTTCTTGATGTCAACAACATCTACGTTCGGACGGTTGAACTGTTCGTAGTAGGTCTGTTCGAGACAGGGACGCTTGACGCCGAAGGGGTGAGGCGGTTCTAGTGGAGCGAGGAGGTCTCGAAGTCTGGGGTCGCCAATGCGGGTGCGCACGTTCTTAGCCCAAAAGTCATACGCTGTGTGTATGTTAGTTGCTGACATAACATGTTTGATACAGATAACATGACTTACCCTTCCTGTTAGCTTTCATGTCAAAGAGGTAGTCCTTGTAGTTGGCCAGCCAGAAGCGGAAACCTCCTTCGTCCCATAATTTCTGGTAAAACTTCTCTCGCTCTTCTTCGGTGTCTTCAAATGTGCCCTTCTCGTAAAGACCATACAAGAATCCACCAAAGTTTCTCTCCCGGTAACGGAAGAGTTCGGGGTAGAACACTTTGGTGTCGTTCTGCTCTTTAGCGGTGAGACTTCTCTTCCGCATAGGAACGGCTAGGTTGGGTGTGCGTTGGAAAACCTTGAGCTCGCCAGCAACAGGACCCCAAGCCTGCGTGATTTGTACACCGGACGCACCTGTACCGATGACAGCACACTTCTTTCCGCGAACGTCGATGTTCATGTCGGGCCAGAAAGAAGAGTGGTGCACAATACCTTGGAAGTCATCAATTCCCACAAATTCATCTGGAATGTAACGCTTAGCAGCGAAGCCTGCCGCAACCACAAAGTACTTGGCCTTTGCTGCGCGGCCATCAGCGGTTTTGATCGTCCATTTGCCCTCTCGGGTGTTGAACTGGGCGTCAACCACAACACTATTGAAGGCGGTCTCCTTCTTGATACCAAGGACTTTGTCGCAATGATCAAAGTATGCACGCAGGTCTTTGTAGTCGGGATAGTTGCTGGGCCACACCCAGTCCTTGTAAGTCTCTGGGATAGAGAGCTGATATTCTGGGATCTCAGAGTCCACGCCAGCCCCTGGGTAGCAGTTCCATCTCCAGGTGCCGCCAAGGTCCTATGCATGTCAGTAGAGACCTGAAGTTAAAGGTAGCATGGAATTACATTGCCTGCTTCATAGATGACAGTGTGGAAGCCCGCCTTCTTCAGCTCATACCAGCAGTAGATGCCACCAAACCCGCCGCCCACAACAAGGGCGTCGACATCGAGATTGTCGGCGTATGGCCCCGTAGTACCGCGGCGTTGAGCGTACTCGTGGAGTTCAGTCTTGATCTTCATATCGGAATCAGAGGTTGGTCAAAGAAGTTTCTGAAAAGTGGTTTGAACTGAAAGTGTATACTATTCCCCACGCAAATACACCTACCTTATATCCTCATAGCTGCTCTCCACATTTGGAATATGTGTACCTGTACACGTTGTACTCTACAAACAGAGACATGGTCGCCGCCGGCTCCGTTCTTCCGCTTGCGTTTCCGCTTCCCATCTTAAAACAGCGAATGGAGTTCTAATCCGGCGGACCCGTCGACATCCGCAAGGGTATCCGTAAGCCCGTTACACAGCTCAGATGACTTTCCAGCCTCTGAATGAAGCGATATTCTTTATTTTGCAATCTGATAGGCTTGGCTTATTGCGAGACTATTGTTTCTAGGATCTGTACGTTTTGTCGTATGTATCGTATCGGCGAACACACCTGGCTGCGCTTCCGCACCCACTTCCGCAATAGTCGACACCGACAGCTTGGCACGGGCGGGGGCGCGGATCATCGACACTTTGCATTAGAAAATACCAACATCGACCTTGAAAGCGTTTAGCGAGGTGCGGGGAGGTAATGTGACTCTTCCACATCAGCTCACTTTGCCCTTCTTTGCGGAGATTGCGGTGCCGGCGAGGATGGATTAGTGGAATGCCTCAAACGTTGACATCGAGATCGTAGGTGTTTGCGACGTGTATTTACCATCGAGGAAATGTAAATATCGAACAGCAGAACTGCTGCGCATTCCTGTACTTGATAGTCGTTTGTCTCACCTTCGAAGAAGATAGACTTCAGCATGAGCAAACTATCCGCTCAGACACTGTCCCAGCTTTCGCAAGCCGCCGACGATGCATGTACAGACCAGATAGCTGGTATCCCGGGTGCGGTGGTTGTGGTTGTCGGTAAGGATGGCAAGGAACTCTTCTCCCATGCAGCCGGAAGACGTGGAGCAGGCAGCCATGAGCCTATGACCCTCGATAGTGTGTTTTGGATCGCATCGTGTACGAAGATGATAGTGGGCGTTGCTGTGATGCAGCTTGTTGAGAGGGGTGTATTAAGCTTGGATGACTCGGCGCAGGTGGAATCGCTTTGTCCAGAACTGAAAGCGGTTCAGGTCTTGAAGGCCGATGGAACTCTCGTGCCGAAGAAGCGAGGCATCACACTCCGCATGCTGCTGTCTCACACTGCAGGATTTGGATACACCTTCTTCAATGAGAAGCTAAGAGACTTCAGTCGACCCGCGGGTTGGGACGAATTCTCCGGGTTAGAGTTCGACATCAAGCAGCCGCTCGTGCATCAACCCGGCGAGGGTTGGGAATATGGGCTCGGCATCGACTGGTATGTAAAATGGACGAAATCTGCATAAGACAAGTACTGATGCGGTGTTCTCAGGGCAGGAAAAGTATTGGAAAGAGCAACAGGCCGTACGCTTGAAGAATACTGCCAGGAAAAGATTTACGCCCCGCTCGGACTGAAGAATGTTTCCATGAAGCCGCACGCCGAGATGTTGAGAAATTTGGCATATATGAACAGCCGAGATGGAAACGGAAAGCTCTCAAGGAGGGTAAGCACTGCGATTGGCATTCAGTCACAGGGTATATACTGACCTGTTTATCCGCGGTAGGACCACCTGCTGAGACGCCCTTTGTTACCAGACGAGAGCCATTCACCTAGCTTCTTCTACAGCGGGGGAGCCGGGTGCTTTGCAAAGCCCCGAGAATATGCCCGTAAGCACAGCTCTTTCACCCTTTGTGTGATCAATGATCAGCGTTTGACATGCATTAGAAATTCTGGCAATGCTCCTAAATGACGGCACGTCGCCCACGACCGGCGCACAGATTCTCTCCCCGTCAACCGTGGAAATCATGTTCCAGAATCAGATCACCCAATTTCCAAACTTCGCACGTCAAAGCATCCCGGCTGCGAAGCCGGATCTGACAAACGCTATACCGGAGATATATCCCGTACCTGGCAATGGCCCGCAGGGTTGGGGGTTGACATTTATGTTGAGCGGTGCAGGCGCAACCGGAAGATCTGCAAGCACTGCATTTTGGGCAGGCCTACCTAATCTTTGGTGGTGGTGCGATCGAGAGAAGGGGGTTGCTGGCATCGTCGCCACGCAGCTATTGCCTTTTGCAGACGGGCAAGTATTGAATCTATGGGGTAAGATCGAGTCGGCGGTCTACCAGGCTTTGTAGACTGGAGACTAATACGGACGTTATATATGTCTGTGACAGCAACTGTGACGTGGGATGAGTGTCGTGACGCGGGATCGGAGTTGTGCGGTTGATACTAAGGATCGATCGGTAGAAAGAAGCCGAAGATGCGCTAGTCCTAAAGTAGAATGGCTGAGCACCGATATCAATCAAAGTGATGTTTTGTCAACGGCCCAACGTCCTGAGCGGTCCGATCCTCTGACACTCCTTTTCAGCTCTTCAGCAAAGAGGCCTCTCGATCGTGATCACCACATTCCACACTTGAATGCACCTATCGGCATATAGCGGAACTAAAAATTCCTTTCCACCATTTGGTCAGACCAGAGCTCAACCATGACGTATCCCAGAGTTTCGAGGCTTCTCATCCTCGCAGCTGATCCCCCGCATGGGCGAGGGTGAATGTGAAAAAGCGGGGTCGCTGCAATAACCTGTATGCGTCCGCGCTTAGCAACGTCGTATGCCGGCTACCTTGTATGCAGTGTAGTCTCTCGTTAAGATCAATCATTATCCTCCCCTAACTTGTCTCATCCATCGCCATCACCGACGTTACAAGCAAAAATGTTGAAGACTTTCGAAAGCAGTACTATGACCGAAGTACCCAGCAAGTCTCATGCAGAAAGGCCCGACAACTCAACAACACCACCTAAATTATCGTCCGCGAACTCTCAGCCCACACAACAGCCCTTACCTCCTCGTCGTCAGCAATGGCGTAGCTGCGACTCGTGTAGGCGCGGAAAGAGAGCTTGCGATGCAGACAAGCGCGCCGATTTTACAAATCAAACGTGCTCGAACTGCCTCCGGAAGAACCAAGCCTGCACGTTCAACTGGTTGAAGACAGCTTCGGAGGGCCATCAAGAGCGGGATAGGAAACGGAGACGTTCATCGTTACAGAGTGGTTACGATCGTGCCGAAGATTCAGCATCCACTCGCTCTCTCAGCCACCATTTTCGAGCCCCGTTCGACTCTACCATAAACAGACTTTACTACGAGGTACCAAATCGAGGGACACAATCGCTGTCGTCTCTGGATCAAGATGACGAACAAGAAGATCGCTTCGATATCACGCAGAACGACAATGTGGACAATGGCTCGAGCGAACCGATATCTATTGATAACCCAAGTGCGGCACAGCCGGAAAAGAGTGATGAACAAGAATTCTTCGTCTCTTCCCGCGCCCGACGAGACTCATTAGACGTACGTCCTTATGGTCGTAACCGAAAAAATGACGCCAATTCTCCATTCATGGACATATTATTGGGGGAGAGGACATCACGAGGTTTCGTAACCAATGGCTTCTTGCGCATCTACAACGACAGCATGGAAAACTCCCTTTCGTGTTGGCTTACAGAACATAACTGTCCGTATACTATGACACGCTACAAGCCTTCCATCCTGTCTGCAAGTAAAGCCTCACGGGAATGGGGTGGATCCTGGTCTAACAGGATGTACAATCGAGTCATTCAGCTTGACCGAGCCTATGCAACCCTTCTTATTCGGAAACTAACACCTGATGAGGAGCGCATTGTCTCTAAAGCACTGAATATGACCATCATGTCTTTCGCTTCACAATGGGCTCAAGCAGGTGAGAGAGGGACCAAAGGTTGTCCGGCAGAATCCCGTTTCACGGCGGATGGATTCCCTCAGTCAAATGAGTTTGAGCGTTCTATGCAAGAGACTCTCTGGCATCAAACGTCTGAACTGCTTCATCGGGCTGCTAGCATCGACTCTTTTCGCGTGGTCTTTGCCTTGATCATCTTCTCGTTGACTCAGCGGCCTCTGGACACCACACGCCCATCTCTGCGTACCAACTCCAAGCTGGGGACGCATTACGAGGAGTTTCAAGCTTTGGTGCAGGATGATGACGCTCCGATTTTCCTTGAGATAGCTTTGCGACAGCTCCTCGCTCAACGAAGGAAACTGGAACGGATAGAACAGCAGATGGCAAGCCAAGGAAATGGAGAAACAGACCCGCTACGTCAGGAAGACCGAGATACGTTCAACTTATTGTATTGGTTAGGGGTTATGTTCGATACTCTATCTGCAGCAATCTCCCAACGCCCGGTGGTAGTCGACGATGAGGACAGCGAGTTACCACGATCAAACAACCACGAGTACGGAGAATCCCTTGTGTGGGCCAGCCCTCCTAGCATCTACAATGACCGATTCACAATGCCAAAGAATGCGACTAATACCTTTACTAACACCCAAACATCACAACCCTCTGCTGAAAGCAACGAGGTTTGGGGTGATCTGTTCACACGCTACGGGAACTTGGAAGTGGACCCTGGAGCAGCGAGGTGGCCATGTAGCTACAGGCTTGCCGCATCGACACTCAGCTCTGCCGCACCAGTGAAAGTGCTCTTGTTCCGGCGTGTGGCACATCTCCAAGCCCTGGTCTCGCGTAAAGCTTTATCCGACAGGATTGAGGTAAGCCAATGCTTTCATCTCTTCCGACTATGATCATTCGACTGACTATGCCATGCATACAGTCAGGGATAAACGCCGCATTCCAAGTATACAACCACTGGCATCGTAACTATGCTCCTTTCTTCTCCGACTGCGTAAAGCATCACGCCACTCTCCCTACACGTGTGCAGTCCTGGTACATTCTCTTGGCAGGACACTGGCATCTTGGAACCTTTTTGCTTTCCGATCTTCTCGCAACGATCGATTCGACCAATCTCTCTTCTTCTAACGAAAGGATTTGCCGGCAAGCTTCGAATCTTGTCGCTACGTTGCGCCGACAGAATGCTCTAGCAGTCGCCGACCTAAGTCTAGCAAGCATACACAGCGTCAATGACACAAAGGCGTCAAAATATTTCCATTTCGCTTTGAGCCAAGCTGCGCTATTAACAGAGCCGTGGACAGTAGTTTTCGTGCGCTCATTATGCAGAGCCGGCTACATTCTGGTCCAAATAGCAGCTTCAGATCCAAGTGAGGAGGAGCAATCCCAGGCGAGACGGAGATGCAGCGATTGTATCGAGGGTCTCTGGTATCTCGGTCGTAAATCCGACATGGCATTCCTAGCCGCACGTTATCTATCGGATATGTTGGATGAAGCAATACGCGATATGAGTGCACGGACAGTCCCCGAGGATGAAGGGAGTGATAGTGTTCCGACAGTGTCATCGCATTATGACACAAATCCCAGCCCAGGGGCCGATGCAGCGACTGCTGGATGTCAACAATCGTTCAGTTCGATGGGTCCTTTTCCACAATGGCCGGTTGATGACCTGATGGGCGGTTGTCAGCCGGGTGGCAAGCTCAATGAGTGTGACATGCTGAATTTGGAACCTCCGATAAACGTCGATAGTGCTCTACTTTGGGATTTTAGTCTTCAGTGCTAGCGAGAGAGGTAAACTGTTGAACAGGAGTGTACATGTACATCACGAGGGAAGGGACGAATAGCAGGGTATTGTCGGGACGAAGCAAGGTGAATCAGCACTGAGTGAGAGGATTAAAGAGGTCAGGCAAGTAAATACATAAATTTACGTCTAGACCCACGTGAGGCAGGTAGCTCTAGGGTGACTACCCGTGACATCTGTGGCAAGATATGTCCTTCTCGATGGCTTAAGATCTAGCAAATAGCAAACAAGGAAAAAGCTTGAATATACAGACGCAGTGAGTACTTTCTCTACTTGAAACTACTGGTGCCATCGATCGTCAGCCATACCATGCTTCCACCAAAAAGCGATCCCGACTACGAAGAGCGATTAGAGCTTCTTTCCAATATCCAAGATCAGTGGGATCCCAGGACAGAATGTAGCAGGCTCATCCCTAAATCCATGCGGTACGATAGCTCCATCAGTACCTGGCCTCTACCAGTCCTACGAGGCATAAGCGCCCTCGCTAATGATATGCCGGGCGATGACGCGTGGAATGAAGTTTACGATCTACTGGAAGAAGGACAGAAGAAGAGGATGAAGGACAAGTCAAACAATCTGCCAGCACAGATACAGCTAAGCGATTTAGAGTATGTCCGACAACACTATGGTGGGGATGAGCCGATTGAACGGGAAAAAGGAAAGGGAAAGTTGGTTGGTAAGGATGAGAACGTGGATGGTGAGTTCGACCTCTTGCTGAGTGCTTTTACATTGAACGACGACTGACATGCGCAGATACAGGATTGATTGCCAGAGACAACGACAGCCTCGTCAGCCAATCTGGCAACTTCACCAGCAGCGTCGGCATCACAACAGCAAATAAAGAAAATCCACAGTATAAGCAAGGTGGCATCACCGCGTCAGAGCACGACAACGAAACAGATTCTCTTCCACCATCGATTCTCCCCGACGACACAGAGGCCGTTAGATTTCAGAAGTGGAATCGCTGGATACAACACTATTGGAATGTGGATGACTGCAAGGACCTCATTCCTGACGACATGTTTGAAAGAGCTCCAAATAGAAAACCAAAGCGTGGCGGGAGGTTAGAGAACTTCAGAGGCTCGTACAAAGGTGAGCTCCTAGAGCAACTTTAAAAGTTGGCTCGAATCACGGGATCTTTGCAAAGAGATGAGGCGTGGGCGAAGATTCGGGAGAAGTGGAATGGGAGATCTACGGGAAAGAACGGTAATAAGGCTATGACAGTTGGAGATGTGAAGTTTGCGATCGAGTTCTTCCGCAGCCAGGGTGCAAGTATAAGAGAGCCGTCTGCTGCTGCTGAAGGAGCGATAGCTAACGCTGCACCACAAAGCGACGAGACGCACTCTCGAGACAAATTAGAAGGGGAGGCAAGTAAAAGAGACAAAGAGCATGGAGATGTGAGAGGAGCCGTCCAGGAAGAACAGCATGTTGAAGAGAGAAGGTAAACTTTTGTTCAGCGTAAAGTACTTCTTCTTACTACAACAAATCATATCTAGAGCTATTTAGATATAGATAAAGAACCTAGAAGCCTATAGTGCTACCAATCTTTGTAGATCTTCTTGATTACAGCTAATGCATACTGTAAGGTAGGGCTTGTTGTTTCTGTTTTTGTCTGTTTCTTTGCTTCCCTGGGGTGAGAGAGAGATGAAGGTTGCGGAAACGAGACGTCACGGGAGTGATCGAAGAGTGATAAGATTGATAAGTCAACTAGGAGATGCATATATAGAGCAAAACGGCCGATAGAACGAGCGATATGAGATCGACAATATCATCAAATTGGTCGCTGGGTGTCATCAATTTGCCAATATGTTGGAGCCTTATCGGCGACTAGCGGGAATGACGTCATCATTTACCAACACCAAGAGCCACACACGTCCCATCCTATCTTGGCCAAAGCAGCCGACCAGCGACCCTGACAGCCTAAAATGGCCTCACTAGGAGATATGACACAAGTGTACACCCCAGATCCGAACACCGCGGAGCCCGCCAACACCCAAGCCATCATCTCGGCGCTCAACCTCCAAAAACATGTCGAAGGTGGCTACTATGCAGAAATCGATCGCAACCCACTTACCATCCCTAACCCCTTCTTATTGAAGAATGGCGGAGATGAAGAAGAAGATGTAAAGAACACGGCCGATAAACCCATGTCGGGTGACAACGCCATCAGAAATGCGAGTACAAGTATATACTACATGTTGAGCGCAGTGAATCCGCAGGGACATTTCCATAGAAACAAGGGCAGGACGGTATGATATCCTTTATGTTCAAACCCCTTGAACCTGCTAGCACATGCCAAGCCGGTGGAGGGAACTCGTATACGATACTCATGTTGAATATTGAGTGTTGATCTTGTCGCATAGGTACACACCCTAATCTCAGGTCGGGGCCGCTACGTCCTCATTCATGCCGATGAACCCGGCACTAAGAAACGCATCGAGACCTTCGTCGTTGGACAAGACGTTGCGCATGGAGAGAAGAGTGTGTGGATTGTCGAGGGTGGGAAATACAAAGCGAGCTTTCTACTTGATGGAGCGGAGGGGGAAAGGTTGTTGATTAGTGAGGTACGTATTCGTCACTGGGCTGGGATAGTAAGAAGGGGAGAGCTAACGTTATTGTGACTTTGCAGACGGTGATACCAGGATTTGAGTTCTCGGATCATGATTTCTTGACGACGGAGAGATTTGAGCAGCTTGTTACAACAGAACAGGCGAAGGAGTTGGAGTGGTTGGTGAGGAAGTCTTAGCCTGCCTGTTATTTGGAGAACCCTCAGGCCTTCGCTGAGGAATTGCAGCATGTAACCAAGAAAAGCAATTCTCGCCGCTAATGCAACTCTGCTGTGTATTCAATGTGGCGCAACGCGAGGGCGCGTCCTCACGTGTCAATGTGATGAAATGGCGGGGCCTAAATTTCCTATCGATAACGGGCAAAATTATCGACGTTTCGTGACGCAAACCCACGCTCAGCCATTCCGCTCAGTAACACATTCCAAAATGTCTTCAGCATTCGGCCCAATCGCAGGTATGTACTCGCACAAAAATGTAAATTATTTTCTGACGCCGTCTCTAGAGGCACACCAGGACAAATTCGACCTCGGAATTTGGCACGCGCTCTTCAACTGGGCAAACCTGACTGTCGCTGTCCAAAACCAATGGGGCGGGCCCGACTCCTCAGATAAACGCGACTGGCTCGCAGGCCAAATTTCAGAACTCTTCGCAGCCGAGCCTCTGACAGATGCGGAGGATGTTGAAGTCGTCCTTCTACAAGTCCTCGAGGACGAATTCGGCGTGCGGGTAGAAGACGAGACCGAGGTCGCCGTTGCGCGCGAGATCATGACGATACGGAAGGAGATTGGCGAGGGCAACACGGCGACGGTGGATGCGCTGCAGAAGAAGTGGCAAGAGCGCAAAGGAAAGGAAGTCTCGACTGGCAGTGTTAATGTCAAGGAGACGAACCAAGAGGGGGAATGGGACAGTGTGGATGAGGAGAGCGACGAAGATGATGATGTCGAAATGGGCGAAGCGCCTGCGCTTGTGCCCGCGAAACCGAAGCCAGAGCCAGAGGTGGACGATGAGGGCTTCACCAAGGTAGTCGGCAAGAAGAAGAGATGAGGCGTCGAAGAGGTGTACTATGAGCAACGATACCAGGCCAGCTGAGGCAAGAGGGAATGTTAGTAGTGATGTAGGTGACTACTGCGCGCATCTAGGATGGGCGCCCAAGACAGCAAGCAACACGCAGAAAGCGCGCACATTAGCACCGGATGATCAATGCGCTGGATGTAGTGTAGCATGCTCTACGCGCTGAGATAGAGGAGGAGCTTTCGCACTCGAACAAATACGTTTTCGTCATGTCGGCTGGATGGACATGTCTTCGTGTGACGCGAGCGTGTTCCAGGGCTCGAGCTTGTAGTCGCCAAATCACTAGCGTGAGTTGCGGAGCATCATGCATGGCCCCGCCCGCATTTGACTGAACCCTTGGTTGACCGACTGATCTGACGACCACTACAACATCCTTAGCTCTCACCCAACACACAACCCCTCTGGATCTTGCTTCCCTTCTGGACTATCGTAGCTATGGATTCCGCCTACGACCACATCCAGGAGGAGAGCTACCCGCAGGACCCCACCAAGCAGTCGTCCGCCAGCGGAGATAACACCCACCAGGAGACAGCCAACAACTTCAACGCCGAGTTCCAAGATGCTTATAAAGCCATATCGAGCAGCCCTTGGGCTGCGCGCTTGGGAGGGTTCCTGGGTAACGTGAGGAAGCAGGTAAGACAGCGGTGTGTAATTGTGCGCTCACCTGCTAATTACGTGTGGCATAGGGCGAGCAATACTACGACAATGCGAGCAAGCAATATGCGCCATTGACCAAGAACGCTCAGGCTAGTGTTTCCAACATCATCAGTCACGCGCGAAAGATTTCCCTCCAGCCCGGCGACGCTTCAACCTCCAAATCCGCATCCACCGACAAGGACGCTTCTGCCGAGAAGGCAAAGGAAGACACGGAAGCCCACCCCGACCGTCCTGAGTCCCTTGCCGCAGACATTGTAAAGGAAGCAGAAGGCATACTATCGCGCTTCCGCTCCGAAGCTGCTAAAAGGCTCAAAGACGTCGAAAAGGCAGAAGACGCCGCCGACGAGGCACTCCTCAAATTCGGCAGCAATATCCGCAACTTCCTCCGCGACGCTGTCACCATCGCGCCTCCCGAAGCGGGCTCTGAGGCTGACAAGAATGGCGACGTACTCTTCGAGTCCAAGGATAGCAGCGGCAAGAAGGTTGTTCATGCGACACGCTTCGACGCACAGCTCCATGTTATCCACTCGACGCTCGACTCTTTCCTCAAGGATCCTGCGAGCCCGGAGTGGGAGAAGTGGAAGGCAGCGTTTGATGTGAACAAGAAGACTGAGGCTATTGCCAAGGATCTCGAGAAGCATGAGGAGCTGAGGAGTGCAATGGAGAAGTGTGTTCTGGAGAAGGTCGAATACAAGGTCTTTTGGTGCAGATACTACTTCCTCCGTCATGTCATTGAGAGTGAGGAGCAGAGGAGGAGGGAAATGCTCAAGGGTATGTTGACTTCAGTGTGCTGGAGGTGCACCAAGCGCTAACTTCTTTTTTACAGCATCTACACCCGCCGCCGACGAAGAGGTAGCCTGGGATGAAGACTCCGAGGAGGAAGAAGAGGAAGAGGAATCAGATGATGACGAGGAGGAGGATGACGAAGAAGAATCTTCCGAGGAAGAAGACTCTGATGACGATTCTGACGACGATAACGCTACTGTTACAAAGCCCTCTACCACAAAACCCACCCCGGCACCCAAAACAAGCACACCCAAGCCAACCGACCTGACCGCCTCTGTCAACACTCTCAAACCTACCGAAGAAACCAGCAAACCTGCCACAACACCTGCAGCTTCAGCACAACCCCGTCGATCAAACGATGAGAAGAGCGTGGCCGATAGCGATGCCAGTTATGATGTAGTCTCTGGAACGACAACAAGGACGCCAAGTGTAGGAGATGGAAAGAAGAAAGTTGTGGCTGAGGAGAGTGACGAAGAGGAAGATTGGGAATAAGCAATGATGAGGATAGGAAATGGTGAAGTAGGATGATGAATATGTGAATACGACTTTGGGTGTACATGGCGTATGGGCGTGTTGTGTGTTTGTTTAGTCGACTCTTTCGGGTCAAGGGCGGAGATGTTGACAGGAATTGCAAATGATGTGAAACATTCTTACTTTGTCTTGTGTTCATGGAGAATTTGATCATGAGTGCTCGCTCGCTCGCTATGCTAAACTACGCTACATAAAGATGGATTCTCTGGTTAAAGCAAATGGTATCTTGAACGCCGTCATGATGCTATGTATCGCTTGTTAAACGCAAAAACACACGAGGATCTCATTCACTGTCTGTGATAGACGAACTCTTCATGGTCTGGCCACACTGCTAGGCGGCGTATCAGGAGACACGCTACCAGGTGTACGAGGTTCCGCTGGATTGCTTGGCCTTTGCGAGAAGCCAGGCTGCCTCAAGGTACGAAGCTGTGGTGGTTGACGGTGATTCTGACCTGGCTGTGTGGTTGCTCGTCTGAGAAGTGGACTCGGGGAGGAGATGTTGCCTAGACTGTGTCTTCCAGTATGTGAAACATCAACTGAGGATTTTGAGCGACTGGATGTTGGGATGGTCGGTGTCCGTGGTGAGCCAGGTGTACCACCTCGTGACCGAGAGTATGGAGAAGAAGCGCGATGACCCATGGGGTAGCCGTCATAATCATACCTCCCACCACCACCATCTCCAGTCAACGTATCTTCATCACCATATACAGACCTCTCTTCGTCTCTCCCATCTTGCACATGTTCATGCTCATGCAATTCATGCTCCAGATATTCCTCTCCTCTCCTCTTGATCGGACTCTCATCATACGGATCAAATCCAACTCTCATCCTTGCTTCCCTCCTGACTCTTCGCCTTAACTCAGCATCACCACCTGCCCCTACTGTACTGCTATCCGAGAGGAAAAAGTTAAGGAATTCGTCTGGAATGGCCAGGTGGGAGGATTGCTGGAATTGTTGGAGAGCAGTGAGGCGGATAAGCATTTCGAGTAGGGACAATGAAGTTTTCACCGTGGGAAGGGACGTTGGAGGTTGTCGTTGGTACTGTGGTGTTGGTGCCGAAGCTTTCTGGGGAGAGGGAATGATTTGGTTGTGGGGTGTTGGTTTGGGAGAGGTGGGCGTACTAGGGCGAAGGTTGAGGGCGGAGAAACGGCCAAGGAAGTCGGGCGGTGTAGGTGTGGCTGCTGGGGACAGCGAAGAGGCTTCTTCAGTCGACTCTTCTGTTTCATCGATTTCGGAATCAGAGGTCGGGTCTTCAGTGTATACTTCGAATGCCATCCATTCTAGGTCCAGCGTGGGAGGTAGTCGCCAGGGAAACGTTGGTTGCTCAGGCTCTGGTGAGGGTTGTTCTTCAAGATGTGGTGTAGATTCACGCCGGAGTTGTTCTTCCAGTTCTGCTTGTTCAGCATCTTCTTCGTCGTCGCCAATAGTATGTGAGTCATCCGACTCGTAACCAGGTCCATCTGTATCACGTTCCATCATACGGCGTGGCGGTGCTGCATTGACGTCTCGCTTCAATAACAAAATCGGGTTGTTACTCTCGTTGTCAGAACCGATGTTCAATATCTTTCCCGTATCGGCGTAAAAGATCTTTGAGACTTCATGAATGGGTATGATCTCACGGACACCGGCTTGCTCCACACCGTCGTATGGCCCTGGTTGGGGTTCGCCATCCTCGAACTCGTGCATACGACCATCATCTAAGTCTTCAACGATAAGCAGCTGATAGGCAAACTCCTGCAACATGCTATCAGAGGGAATGTGGCGGTGGTTAGCCTCATCGGCTCGTCTGCTGTCTTGTCCGAAAGGCGTGGGGTAGTCGTAGACATTATCGAGAGGAATCCTCATCAGTGTAACACGTGCTTTGTGCATGACCTCCTTCCATGTTGTTTCTCGAACGTCTTCCTCATGGGCTCGATGAGCATATCCGGCGAACAACATGTACAAGGAGAGGGTGAAGGTCGGTCCAATCTGCTGGGCTCTGGGCTTTGACGCGCAATACTGCATGTCGCCAGAAGTGAGAAAGGTGCTGGCCTGTAGAAGCCGTGATGGCGATACAGTAGCCGGGAGGGTGGTGGAGAGACTAGTACCAGATGTGGTGATAGCCAGATTTATGAGTGGCACAGCATCTTCGATACGCTCCAGCAACCTTTTCATCTCTTCAATGATGATCTTGAGCTCAGCGTCATTCTGATCCCGCGATTTTGCTTTGGAGCTGCCTCTTCTTGAAAGCTGCTCTTCGGCCACAGCCTTTTCCACACGGCTACCTAATGTCTGGATGTCCCATCGAAGAGACTTTGTGAGTCCTACAGCAGACTCGAGTGACGTGTTTCCGCGTGCCGCAATCAGCTCTATCATGTCGATCGCAGGTGAGATGATTTTGATTTTGGAGTCTAGTCTTATTTGCAAATTGGCGAGCTCTTGCTTTTCACGGCCTTCGACCGTCTTCATCAGTCGGCCGCATTGCTTGAGCGCATAGTGGCTGGTGATCGCTATACCGCTTCTGATAGCATAGCTCATAGCCTGCTTGGTCACCTATCACATGTCAGCATGGGCACTGGGTACGAGGAGGATGACTCTGTGTCTGCTTATGACGTATTGGGAGTCAAAGCGTAGTCATACATTTGCTAGGAGTGATTCCATCTTGACCTGTCGATTGGGTTTCACCCTTGTATGGAAATGATTGGGTGATGAGATATTTGGGTTAGATGAACCATGAGGTCAGAGTATTGGGTTGCTGGAGAAGGCAACCGGGAATATCTGTGGCAAGTGACAATGAACGCGAGTGTTTGCGTGTAGGTGAGTGTCTTTGTTGCTAGGAGCCCTAGCCAATGTTAGGCAGCGAGGCGTTGAGTCAGCCCCACTCAGCCACCGAAAGCGACCCCGCCAAATCTTGCGTGGGCAGCAACGACGCGGCACATTTTCACTTTTCGCCGACGACACTCGACGCCCGTCCACTTATATACCTCAGTAGTCGCTCTTTGGTTGCGGGACGAATTCACGCACGTTCTTGCCTACTCGTTAACAAGAGCGACATAGTCGTTCCCGAAGCGCATTACACGCACGCCGTCGCTACCCTACCAACCCAACCACACGACACATCCCTGCGACGACCGACGTCACAATGGCCGACAACTGGGAGCAAGAGGAGGAACGCCTCGCGCAGCAGGCGCAGGGAATGAACCTCAACAACACGCCCACCTTCACACCAGGAGCGCAGTCGTTCACCCCGGGCGCGAGCGCTTTCGTCCCCGGCCAAGCCTACGGTGGCTACGGTGGCTACCAACAGTACGGCCAGCAATACGGTGGCTACAACCAGTACGGTGGTCAGCAATACGGAGGCTACCAGCAACAACAGGGTTACCCACAATATGGGCAACAGTATGGTGGACAGCAGGGAGGGTACCCACAGTACGGACAGCAGTACCAGCAGAACTTCCAGGCCCAGCAGCCGCAACAGGGCCAGTCTCCTGTGAGGATAGCAAAGCGAGGCGACGACGTGGCTGCCTCAGACAGTGCTGCGCCTGCTGAGGCCAAGAAGGACGCCCCCAAGGCGAAGGTTCTCTCGATTGGTGGCGACAGCGCACCCAAGGCAAAGGTCTTGTCCATCGGAGGCGACACCACAGCACCAAAGGTCGAGAAGGCAGGTGGCACAAAGGTCCTCAGCCTGGGTACACCAGCCGCGCCATCGGCCGCGAAGGAGAAGGCAGACAAGGAGAAGAGCGTTCCTGAAGCCGGTACCAAGGTCACCGCCGCGAAGGCCATTGAGAAGACTGGCGAGGCTACCCCAGCATCCGCAGGCTCTGGAAGGACTTCGCCAACTCCTTCTTCTGGCCGCAATAGCCCGACACCAAAGGAAAAGGCCATTGAGAAGAAGGCAGCACAGGACATTGAGAAGGAAATGGAGGAGGTGGTTGACGAGGCCACTCTTGCCGAAATCTACGGCAAGGAGCACGTCAACATCATTTTCTTGGGCCACGTCGATGCAGGAAAGTCCACTCTTGGTGGCAGTATCCTGATCTCGACTGGTATGGTCGACGAGCGTACCCTCGACAAGTACAAGAAGGAAGCCAAGGACGCTGGTCGTGAAACCTGGTACATTTCGTGGGCGCTCGATTTGAACAAGGAAGAGCGACAGCAGGGTAAGACTATCGAAGTCGGTCGAGGTTTCTTTGAGACAGAGAAGCGAAGATACTCCATTCTGGACGCGCCAGGCCACAAGACATATGTGCCCAACATGATCAGTGGTGCCTCGCAAGCAGATGTCGGTATTCTCGTCATCTCTGGCCGTAAGGGAGAGTACGAGACAGGTTTCGAGAAGGGTGGTCAAACCCGAGAGCACGCTATGCTGGCCAAGACACAAGGTGTTAACAAGATTCTCATCGTTGTCAACAAGATGGACGATCCTACTGTTGAATGGTCCGAGGACCGTTTCAAGGAGTGCACTACCAAGGTAGTAGCCTTCTTGAAGGGTCTCGGATACAACCCAAAGACTGACATCAGCATGATGCCGGTCAGTGCACAAACATTCACAGGTATCAAGACCCGTGTACCAAAGGTAAGTAACCTTTTGTCTGTAATAGGGATATGAACTGATTTGGTCAATAGGACCTAGCGCCATGGTACGATGGCCCATCTCTACTTGAGTACCTCGACAACATGCAAGCGCTCGAGCGTAAGCTCAATGCGCCCTTCATGATGCCCATCGCCGCCAAGTACAAGGACATGGGTACTATGATTGAAGGCAAGATCGAGTCCGGTATCATCAAGAAGGAGCAAAAGTAGGTCACGTCTTCTGACATCAGCACCTGTTACTTACTAACCGCACCAAGGTACCTCATGATGCCCAACCGACAGACAATCCACATCTCGGCTTTGTACGGTGAACAAGAAGACGAGATTCCTGGAGCGACTTGCGGTGACCAAATTCGCGTGCGACTCCGAGGTATTGAAGAAGAAGATATTCTGCCTGTATGTACTTTGATCAATCCTCCTCCCATGATCGCTTACTAACTTCTTCATAGGGTTACGTTCTTTGCTCACCTAAGCGACCTGTCCACTGTGTCTCTCAATTCGAGGCCCAGGTCGTACTTCTTGACATCAAGTCTATCCTTACAGCCGGATTCAACTGCGTGCTCCACGTCCACGCCGCACAAGAAGAGGTCACCATTACCGCCCTGTTGCACAAGCTGGAGAAGGGCACTGGACGTAAATCGAAGAAGGCACCAGGATTCGCTACCAAGGGCATGAGCATCATTGCACGCTTGCAAATCACCGGTACTGCTGGAAGCATCTGTGTAGAGCGATTCGAGGATTACCCGCAGCTGGGTAGATTCACCCTCCGTGATCAAGGTCAGACAATTGCCATTGGCAAGATTACTAAGCTCATCACGGACCCTGAGGCTTAAGTGTTGAAGTAAAATGATACATGATCAACCGGATGAACAGATCTGGAAGAAGGGTAGAGGCGAAGACTAAGTAGCCTATTGATCGACGGCGTTTGGACGCAAGGCCAGCACAGACCAAACATCGAAAACAATATGATTGCGACTATTCTTTCAACATCATATATGATGTATATTACATCGTGTGTTACTATCCAGTCTCTATGTACATTGTTCGTGAGGCATCGGAGTTGGCTGTGGCAAGTATATAGTGAGACAAGCCTTTTAGCGCCGTAATCAACAGCAACCTTAATTTACCTTCCAACTCGGGAAGTTCATGCAGCATGCATACATGTTTGGAGGCCTAGCTGGATGCACGTAAATGAAAGCATGATGTCATACCGCATCCTGTTACGAAAGAGCCTCTTCACGTAAGAGTCGCGATTCCTAGAGCTGTCTGTGCTTACGTCATCCACTCCCGCGGCCAAACTTCGCGACTGCATCACTTCAACACCAAACTAAGCCGTCACCGGAATTCAGCGTACGCCGCGCATCTCCCCATACGCACCCGCCCACGATGCAGGGCTTTAATATGGGGCGGTACTACCCGCCTGATGCCTCGAATCCTCCAAGCTTCAACAACTCCTCACACCCACTCGGCAAACGCGCAAACAAAATCTCCCAGGGCATCCTCACCGTCCGCTTCGAACTGCCCTTCGCCGTGTGGTGTGATCACTGCAGTCCGCCCGCCATCATCGGCCAAGGTGTACGTTTCAACGCCGAGAAGAAGAAAGTCGGCAACTACCACAGCACGCCCATATGGAGTTTCCGCATGAAACACAGTGCTTGTGGTGGCTGGTGGGAGATTAGAACGGATCCGCAGAATAGCGAATATGTTGTTACAGAAGGGGCGCGAAGAAGGGATTATGGGCCTGCCGGAAAAGAAGACGAGGCTTTAGCCGAGGGAGACCTCAAATTCCTGACTGAGGAAGAGAAGCAGAAGAGGAGGGAAGATGCCTTCGCAAATCTAGAGGGGAAGCTGGAGGATAAAGGGATCGAAAAGAAGAATAAAGAGAGAGTTGAGGAGTTGTATGAGAAGGCGGAAGTTTGGAGGGATCCATATGATGTTAATGCGAAACTGAGAAGGGACTTTCGAGAAAAGCGGAAAGTTTGGAAAAAAGAAGATAAACACAGGGAGGGTATGCAAGATAAGTTCAGTCTGGGACTGGATATAGTGGACGAGACGGAGGCAGACCGCACACGAGCTGGGCTGGTCGAGTTTGGTTCTACAGCGACGGACAACTGGGGAGTGGGTCGTTTGGAGTGGAAGCCTCTTTTCGCGGACACAAAGGTGGAAGAAAAGTCCACAAACGACAAGGTTGTTCATCCTATACCGCCGACGAAGAAACTTAAGGTAGAAATAGCCAAGGAAAAGAGTCGACTGGGACTGCAGCAAACACTTGTCGGAAACACAAAGGCCGCGATTGATCCATTTCTCCACAGTGGTAGCATGCCAGCCTCCAGATTCAACTTGGGTATACTGAAGAGGAAGAGAGATACTGATACAAGGGGTATAAACGCGGGGCCTGAAAATGCAGATGCTGAGGCGCCAACCAAGAAACCCGCTCTGCTTGAAGCTCTGGTGGGCTACGATTCTGACTGATCATACGCTATGTCGGGACGGTCGATTTACCGACCTCTGAGCGATTTTACCTTTGCACTCATCGGCGTTTAGATCAAGGAGCATATGATACCCCATTTCCTATCTGTCACGGTAGTAATTTCTAGCGTTTTCAATTTTGGGTCGACCGACGTGTTAGCCGATATGCATTCCGACTGATAGCGGTCTGCTCGTGAACAAACACTCATGCAATCTGCCGCCTCCGAGCCACCTACAAGCAGCACAAGCACTACTTTTCTACCGAGTCGATGGCGCTGTCTTTCTAAGCAGCTGAAGCATACGTGGCGACCATGCGCGCGTCAGCTTGTATTCTTTACGACGCCACTGTGCGGCTTGATAAGCCTCATAGACTGTCGCTCCTTTGAACAATTATGTAACATGCAGGCAAGGCATGTACAGTATTGCAGAAAGATGAAGATCGTTGCAAGAATTAATCGTGAGCGTATTCTGGCAGGTAAAAACGGCCTATGCCATTGTGCGCAGGTTGTAAACATTCCATCAAGTCTGCCTTATTACCGACCGGTGAGCTTCATCGGGTAAAGCTCTGTATTCACAGCCACCCCCTCATTTCCAGTGTCAGACGGACACCTTATACTCAGCACAACCTGAAAGACTGCAAGATATCCTATCGCCTGCTATGTCGATCACGTTTGGCTCAGTTGGGGATATCATCGCAGTTTGTATACTGGTAAAGGACTGTGTACATGCGCTGAGCGACACTAATGGATCCGCCGCAGAGTATCAGGCTGTCGTTCGCGAACTCTATGTGCTTGAGAAATCCTTGCTGGAGGTCGGCATACTATCGAAAACACATGCTACCACACCTGAACTGACTGCACTATTTGGAAATTTGGAAACAACCATCAATCAATGTCGTGCGTCGCTCGTGGCTTTCAAAGCTAAGACGCAGCGGTATGAAGGCCACCTCGGGGACACATCGACAAAAGGAACCGCGCGGAAACTAGTTTCTAGCAGCGCAAAGAAGATTCTTTGGCAGGTGCAGATGAGGGATGATGTTTCAAGATTTAGAGCAGAAGTGGTGGCCTACTCGATGTCTATCGATCAGCTTCTGGCTGCTGCAACGATGTAAAGATCAAGAACCCCGACTCTGGACATAAAGGCTGATATGCAACAGGCACACCATGAAAGCTCATAACAACACCCTCATTACGCTGTTCGACAAACAAGATTCTTCAGTTAAACACCTTCAAACAAGACTAGATGAAGTGAATCGTCGCGTCACAGCAGGCAATAACCTTCTTTCAGCGCTAGTGAGATCAACACGTGCAAACTGGTTACTGCAGCTTGGACACGATCTGAAGGCCCTTATGCTCAAGATTGTAGCCGTCAATCTCGTCACATATGCTGCTGTTGACAAGATACAAGCTTCTGTCTTGGACATCCAGCTCGTCTTGCCTACACTGACACGCCCAATCTCGGATCCGCGTATATTCTACCTCGAGGATGCGATCGGTCGGGTGAGTACCATCACTTTAGACTTTATCACATCGTGGGATGCACTTCTAGCTGTTCTGGAGGTGCGATTCCAGGGTAAACCAGGTATTAAGAAAGTACTCAAGAAAGAGTATGTCTTGCAAAATCGCGCAACCGGCAAAGATGTCAACGCCAAGCAGAAGTGGGAGACTGTCTTTCGCCCTGGTCTGTGGTTCGACATGGACATGATTTTTCAGAAGTCCGATGGCGGCGATTCAGAGGGTTCGCTAGGAACCAAATGTATCAGGTGTCACGCACAATCTGAGCAGCCAAGGGGACTTGGTAGCACATGGTATGTGGTTGCCATGCTTTTACTTGTGTTTGCGCACCGGAAGTGCAAGACGAATCTTCCGCGATCGCTATGATTTCATGGACTGACTCCCTATAGCTTACATTGCAAGCACGTGCTTCGAATAGTCGACATCACAGATGAGGCTAGTGCCACAACGTTTGCACCAGAAGCCCCAGATTCTCTCGTAACAGCACCACCAGTCAAGTCAGAGCGACGTATCGTGCATCCTGTACCGCCTTCGGGATCAGGAAAACGTAAGAGAGATGACGATCCGGATGAAGAGCCTGCAAACTTCAATCGCGTGAGACTAATCAAACCGAAGAAGCGTCGGCTGAACAAAGACCTGCCAGAGCAGGCCTCAAGTACCGAGAAACGCAAGCAGGAAGACTTAATGGAAATCGATGTTCCAAATGGCTCATCGAAGCGCCACAAATACGAAGACTCACAGGTGGATCGTTGCGAGCAGGGCCATTCGGCCAAGACTTACCTTCAAAAGCAACAGCAGCAGAGCGAGATGAAAGCATGGACATCATCGCAGCCAATGACGGATTTCAATAGATCATCAGGTAGAGAGAACCCGAGCTCATTTACGACTTACCGAGATGGAAAAGAAGGCCCGAGTTCTAGAAGCTCTCCACCGAAGAGAAGCCCTTCAAATCTGCCAAAGTCCGACGTGGCACGCAAAAGATCCGTTGCAACGGAAGAGGACGCAATCCGAGCAGGTATACCTTCTGGGTATTCGTACCGCAATTGGGACCCAGAAGAGGAGCCAATCATGCTACTCGGTAGTGTCTTCGACGCGAATTCGCTAGGGAAATGGATTTACGATTGGACCGTCTTTTTCTATGGCCCTACGACGCCCTTGGCGGAAATGGCTGGCGAATTTTGGCTGCTCTTGATCCAGCTTGCGGGAAAGACAAAACGTGCTGAAGACATAATAGCAAAAATCTTGAAAAAAGAGAGCCAGGAAATTGTGGAGGACTTTTTGGTGTCAGCTGAACGGATATGGGTGCGTTTCACAAAGCTTCTGAAAATCTGCGAGGACTATATGTGGAAAGCTGCAAAGGAGGAGGCTGGCAACAAGAAGCCCGTGTCTATGGGTAAAAATTCGGGTCGTGAATTTGTGGAATCCCTGTTTGGGAAAGATCGTGAGCTGGAAAAGACGGAGGAACTAATGATGCGCATGCGTTTGTGGTCTATGAGGTTTGACTGTAATTGCGAGGATATACTGAGATACCCAAGGGCTTAGACGAATGACTCTACAGGCAGATATGACTAGAGACAAACGAATGTGGTAAATTCAAGGTCAGCATAACATTTACTCAGCCTTCAAGCCCGATTTCCCAATTATGCTGGCCTGTCCACTACACCTTCTGCTCTTTCATCCACTTTTCCGCCTCCTCCTTATACTCATCTCTCCACCTCGTTAACGGCGGCCTTTCGTTCACGATATCCCCCACGCTCCACAACATACGCTTCTTATCCGTCTCCTCTGTAACTTGGTCGTCCGGACAGATGATGTAAAACTTCTTGTCCTGCATCTTGGCGTACATGTAGTTTGCAACTTGGTCGGCTGACCACGCGCCTTCTGGCTTCGCCTTTTCAGAGCCGGGTGTGTTTCCTGACTGTTTTTTAAGGTTAATGTTGAAAAACCAGGATGCAGATGGGGCAGAGGATATAACAGAGCGCCGAATCGGAGAAAGGCGACTTACGAGACCGGTGAACGTCCACCCCGGAACCAACAAATGAACACCAATACTAGTATCTTTCAAATCATAGCTCAGGTGCTCAGCGAGAGTCTTCACAGCTGCCTTACTAGCGTTGTATGCGGCGTTACCAGGTGGGTTCGTAATACCCTGTTTACTGCCCGTGATCACGATCGCTGATGGCCCTTTCCCGTCTCTCTCTTTGAACGAAGGAACATATGCATTGAGTCCATTGACCACACCACCCAGATTCGTAGCCAAGATCTTGTCAAAGTAATCTTCGTCGCCCCATGTTCCTCTTCCGCCTATTCCGGCATTGAGCATAAGAAAGTCGACATCCGTGCCAACTTGTTCGCGAATCGATGCCCAGTCCTGGCGTGAAGATACATCCGCTTTGATGAGCCTAACTTCGCCTTTTAAGCTCTTGCCCGCGATGTCGAGGGAAGATTGGTTGAAATCAACAATGGAGACACGCATTGAGTGCTTCAGACAGAGTTGGGCAACGGAGTAGCCGACGCCGGATGCGCCGCCTGTGATGAGAGCGTGGGCTGAGGAGCGGAAGACTGACATTGTAAGATCTGAAAGAGGCGATTTGATGTGAAAGAAATGAAGAAAGAGTTATGTTTTCGTTGATCGAGAATGGGTAGTGTTGAAGCGGGGTGATGTCACGCGGAGTTACGTTATCTCCGGCGGAGGTACCATAGGTTAGGTTGACTTCCAGATTGAAGTCATCACAACTTGTGGAACCTTATAATCTAGTCCATCACAGAACGTAGTGCGAGATCGGATTGGAGGAAGATTCAAGAAGTCTGAGCCCTATGTGTACGTTTGTATTAGAACTGTGGACGAAAGAAAATGGGGTATCTACAACTATGTTACCTAGCTATCCTCGCCGCCTTAAGCTCATTTGCTATATCACTGCTTTTCACTACCGGCAGCAAGTGTTTCCAAACCGTCCTGCGCGGTCTCAAACCTCTCAACACCCGGCCTCTCCGCTGTCTCTCCTTCTCCAACCTTCGCCTCAGGAATACCACTGCTAAAGAGCCCCGCGCCCTGGCCAGCAGTGAAGTACCGCTCAACATGTGGTCTCTCCTCCTTCAAGATCTGCTCATTGACGGTCTCAGTCACCGCCCCCATACTGCCGAGCTGTTTCTCTTCATTCTGCGCGTCGTCGACAGCAGGGGGCGTAGTTATGTTCACACTAGCTAGCGTAAGCGTACTAGCATTAACATCCTTCCCATCCGGTCCATCCACCTTGAGGCTGAAAGGATACGCGATACCGCCCGCTGTCGGACGCGTAGTCAGCGTATCAGTCGCCGGAATAATAGTACTGTCATTTCCAGGGTTGTCTGAAACGATGATGTTCGGAGGCAAGCCAGGGCTGCCGAGCTGGCTTGTAGGAGATGGAAGAGGGGATGCAGAGCGTTCTGGAGCAAGCGTCGTTGCGTCGGCCAGACCTGGATGCGGTACAATCGATTCGATTTTCGTGAGGTCGTCCATGGGTAGTCCAGTTTGACCTTGGTCGGTCACGGCCGAGTGACGTGAACGTGAGCGGGATCGTTTTACATCTGGAGCGGCGAGTCCAGTGGCACGGCTTCGTTCGGGTTTGCTGCTTGCGGTGCCATCTAAAGTGTGGGCTGGATCTTCGACGGAGGTAGAGACTTCGGTGTCGGGGTTCTGATCTGCTTTCTTCTCGCGTACGATCTGTGATGTGTTAGCAACATTATCCTTTGCAGTTCCCTAGAGGCATTGCGCTTACAGTGGCTTCGTCGTGTTTGCTACCCCAGCCAGACCACATCGACATACCCCAACTCCTCTTTGCAGCTTTTTGGGCCTTCATTCCCTTTATCCTTCTGCCAGCTAAGGCGGTTGGCGGTGGTGTCTCACCCTCAAAACCCTCGAAACCTTTTTGCATGTCCTTGATACGCTGCTTCTGAATCTTGATCTTCTGCTTGGAGAACTTGTTGTTCCACTGAGCTTGCGCTTTCATCCATTTACTGACAGGTCCAGTTTTTGGAACGCCGACATCGATGCTTGGAATGTTCAAAGCCACAAGCTCTTCTTGGGGTGCAAGTGCGTAAATACGGCCGTGTCGATCGATACGTTGGCGTATCATGTGGCTCGAGAATGGTGGGATGGGATCACCAGCTCTACCCACACGTGCATCTTGGGTGGCTTTTTTCTCTGCCTTCAATCGTTTGGCCTCCGCGTTTGAAGACTTGGGATCATCTGACGAAGACCCTGAGCCTGCCTTATCTGAATCTGACGAGGTACTTGAGTCCTTGCTCATGAAGGAAATGTCATCGTCATCAAGGATGTCGATGGACTTCTTCTGAGCTCGTGCAAGTGCCCAGGCGCCGAACTGAGCAATACTGCGGTACATGTGCTTTGCTGGTCGAGTGAAGCTCAGTGTAGGTGTAACGTGACACAGATCGTCCCAAACCTGGAGCTGAACATTGGTGGGCTTGTAGCTGGCGGCTTGAGCCTGTATGGATTCGGCGGTCTGATTATTGGACGGGGGTGGTATGTATGCCAGTGGTTGGGCAGCCTTATGCGCGAGGTAAATTTGCTCGTCTCTGAGCAATTCACCGCCACCCGTTTGGATGAGTAGAGGCGGTAGGCCGCCGAGTGTTGGTTGTAGAACTGGCGAGACCAGAGGATGTGTCAATAGGTGGTTTGCTGCGTACATCTGGATCTGGTCCTTGATCTCCACACGTACATCCTCAAGCTGTACGGATAGTTGACTCTTCGGTCCGACACTGTACTTGCCATTTGAGGAAACCCAGACGTCTTCGTCTTGCCCAGTGGCTGAAGGGTCAACGATATCTCCCAGAGGTGGACGATCTCCTGACTGGACTGAATATCCTCGTACGCGCTCAGCCTTGGCCTCCTTCTTCGCTGCACGGTCTTCCTTTTTGTCTAAGTTGCTATCCTTCCCGGTGGTCTTCTTGGATGAAGTTTCGATTTCGAGCATATCGTCGGCGTTGGGTGGTGCTATATTGTGTCAGTGATACGACAGCAAGCTGAAGAGAATCAACTTACGCCAGCTCATACTCGGCTTGTGGATGAAGCCGTGTGAGGGAATGTAATCCATCTTGTCATCCCCTCCAAGACTGGGAAAACTGTGCGTCAGGTCTACCCAGGGACTGATCAGAATTGCACCTGCGGGTAGTGGTATGCCTTGGTCGCGCAATGTCACCAGCATGCTCAGAACCATGCCGCCACCCGCCGAGTCGCCTGCCAGTATAATCGTCGTAGGGTCGTGTTTTTCTTCGAGAAGGTAGAGGTAGGCCGCCAAACCTAGCGTAGTCAGCATGTGTTCCGAGGTGTTGATGGAAGTACGTACAGTCGTGCAGACCGCATGGGAAAGGAAATTGGGGCGCGAGTCTGTACTTGGGCGCCAACACTCTTGCCTTGAGCTTGCGTGCATGTCGTTGCATCTGATAGCGATGCTCGTCGACACTGCCAAAGAAGTAGGCGCCGCCATGAACATAGAGCATGATGCGGTCGCCTTTGGTGATGGCTAATTGTTTCCTCGCATCGTAATCTTTGCGCATTTCGATCCACTCAGCTTTCAGTGTCGTCCCATCACGTCTCCACTGTTAAGGTGTTAGCTTGAATCGTACATGAGCATCGGCTCTGCCTGACCTGCCACCAATTCTTTCCTCCTACGGCTTTGATGCCTTCGGGTCCCAATTGCGCATTGAGTAGCTGTGCCGAGCGCTCTAATAGATTGCCCGAGATCTCCACTACGTTTACGTGCACCCAACGCGGCACTGGAACCCATTGCGACGTGAACGCTTGTAGTTCGTCGACTGTATGGAAAGAAGCATAGTGGAGGAAACGGCGGATAAGCTCAAGGCCTTCGTGGTAGGAGATATGCGCCGTGGGTTTCTGCGCAAGCGGCCGACGATTGAGGTAATGCGAGAGGTATGTTTGAATAACCGTAGGTGTAACTGCGGCGCCCACAGAAATGGTGTTGACAGGCATCGCGACTCGGGATCAGGGGTGCGGAGCTATCGGAGATCGCTTGTGGACGCGCCCAACTCTTGTCGCGTAGGAACGTACGGTGTTCTGGGAATTCTCGCACCACCAGAAACGACGAAACGCGTTTTAACAAAGGAAAATGTACAGACAAGGAGAGTTATAAGGGAAGCTTCGTGAGGCTTAGGGGTAGGAGAGTGGAGACCCCCGGATCTTCGTTGCTCTTCTTAACCCCTGCACGACCCACCTGCACGACGTCATCGAGACCCTTTTCTACATTATCCGAGCGTGTGAACCACGAGATGACAGTTGATCGTTACTATGCCCGGCACCCAAGATCAGCAAGATACCCGGCAGTTCGTCATAATTGTAACAAGTCGACCGTTCAAGAGACATACATTTAGCTTTACTGTAGTATGGCAAACTTGACCTCGGTCAGCTCTTGCTATTGTACTAGTAAGGCGAAAAGATGTAGGTGATGATGATGCGACGGTCTACCTTGTCACCTGAAACTCCAAACAACTTGTACTCTGTTGTGTACTGTCGGGATCAGCCCACCAGAGTTCGGCTGGGACTATTGGACAACTTACTGGTGTACGTACTAAGTTGTGGAACTACTGTAACGGAATTGCGGACTAGTACGGAGGGTCGGACGTTGGTGGTACAGTAGGAGCAAGATCATAATTCCGCATTTTGATAGCTCACCACAATTCGCATGAGATGGATGGAGTATTAGTACCGCAAAAGAAGATGTGGCCAAGTCGTCGTGATGATTGCATACGATCAGTCAAGCCTAGGCAATGACGATGGTGAATTTGAGATCAGGAAAGGCGACTGGTACCAGGCCTTATGAATTTTAAGGTGTAGAAGGCAAGCAACGCATCGGTGGTGCCCAATCACCCTCAGCATGAAGTGCGCTTTCTGCAAAAGAAGCTGCGACTAAAAAATCAAGAACAGAGATGAGGGAATAGATCAGTTTAAAGACAAAGTCAGAGATAACAGAATATATACATAGGTAGATTGAGACCCAATACTATCGTACAACTCGATCTGCCATCTTAATTTACGTGTCTTCAGTCCAGTGTCGATGCAGGAAAAATAGACGTAAGTGCAAGCCCTTGTCGGAGACGTGGTAGACGTTCTGTACCAGCATATTCGCCGCACACTTTACCTAGTCACCAAGAACGAACTTGAATACAAAGTTGGCGCATAACGGCAGGACATGCTTGTCCATGCAGTCTTCAGAAACAGAGGTGTGAGCCGCGTGTGACGGAGAAGATGCCACCCTGCGATAGGATGTACGAAAAGTTATTAATTCGATCAATTAGATGGGTCCCGTTGCTCGGCCGCATTCAGTGATCGGAGATGACAGAGACTTTACACCTACTGCGCAGCGCGATAGAAAACTACAGAGTTCTTTACAGGATCGCCTTTCCATACTCTATGTGGTCGGGGATTCAAGTTGCAGCATTTCATACTTTGTTGGTAGAGAGATACAGTTGAGAAAGTGTCTAGTTTTTTGTTTGGAATGACGTAATGGACCGGAGAGGCTTCACGCTATTGTGCTAGCGGCCGTCGGAGGGCCCTGAGCACCGCATGTAAGAGGAAAACGAAACACGTACAGAGATAACAGGCGTGCTCTTGCAGCTTACATCAATTTCTAACAAGAAGGCCCACAAAGACTACACGCGTTGTAGCCTTCTAGGTTTGTAATATGCTTACGCACAACTCTTGATACACGTTATTATAGTAGAGAGCGAAACAGGCACAAAAACGGCCCGATGCTAGGTTCACCCTGTCCCACTTGTGGATACGGCAGTCGCGTTGCCGGGTGCACCTTATCGATCTCCCCGAAACCTACTAGGTTCATCGCGTGCAGAGGGGTTGGAATCTTCTCGACACGCTGGCATGACCATGCCCGCTCATCATCGAGATGTCTGAACGACGAAAACTAGTAATAGTACGTCCTCGTTCGCTTTTCGCTTGACGATGTTGTCGTGAAAGTGCTGGAGGCTTCCATTGCTAACTTATTCCCAGGTTGGGGGTTCTCTAACTGGGCTGACAGTCGCAAACCTTTGCCAGAACGAATGCGATGTCATCCTATTGGAGCAAAATAATGCGCTCTACTCAGAAAAGCACAACGGCGGATTTTCGCTTGGACGCTGGGGCCGAAAGATATTCGAAGAATACATCCCTGCGCCTGATTTGCTTGAACGCTCTATACGCGGTGAACAGCTCTTAATATTCTCCCCAGACAACGATGAGATGGTGCCTGTGCCAGAAGAGCATCGTGTTGTGATGACTACTTGGCTCGATTTGTACCAGGTTCTACTGCGAGATGTTGTTGTAGAGTCCGAGAAAAACTGGAAAACAGCGAGCGAAGCACGTCCAACGCTCCGCATAGACGCAAATGTGGAAGACGCACAGTATGAAGATGGCAGGTGGACTATCACATATCGCTTGACAGCCACCAATCGTGTCGAGACAGAGACTGCCGACATGCTCGTCGCCGCAGACGGTGCCCAATCTACCATACGAAGGCTCACGTCACCAGGTGTGGTGCCCAGCTACGAGCAGGTCGTGGCATGGCGCGGCCGAGTGCCAGCCGATGTTTCTGTCGATGAAGAAAAGGAGATTGATGAACGAATCAAGAAAGGCCTGCTTGTCTGGTACAAGATGCACGGGTCTCAATATATCATCCTGTGGGTTTTCTACCTCAATCATTTCGATACTTGTGTTCTGACTGCTATCAGGTATGGTGTGCCAGGCTTTGGCAATGCCGATGACAACGATGATACGGTGATCGAATGGTGCTGGTATCATCCGTACGAGCAGGATACCGACCGAGACCTTGAAAATGTCATGACTACGTTCATAGACCGAGGGCGGCTTGTCAAAGGACGTGCAGAGAAATGGAAGGATTATCTTAACGCCGCCAAGAACAGCTTTCCAAAATCCATCTGGGAGATGCTCTCAAAGTGTGAGACCCCTTGGATTACCAAAGTAATTGCTGCCCCTCTGACCATGAGACCGATCTCCGTCGATGAGCTCGATGAAGACAACGACGACGAAGAGACCGATGACGAAAGCTGGGATCAGGGTGGCGACACATCCGCTTCGTCACCACAATTAAAAAGGCTTTGGTTTGCTGGTGAAGCCTATGCTCCACTCCCGCCTTTCCTGGGTTCGACTTTTGAGCCTGGTGCCGAGCATGCTGTGGCCATTCTGAACCTCATCCAAGGTAAGAGCGATGAGAGAGAACTTCGGAGCTGGCAAAGTGGGGGTACAGCACAGAGGCTATGGTCGAGTAAAATGGCTGGCTGGGAGGGGATGGGTCTGCCAGACACCGAGATCTGACGTCAGGAATCTTGTGCGCAACCCTTGGAATGCGCAATCAATTTGAATACGTTCCTAGATCTTGCAGAGGCTGCACCTCATGACCAATTACAAATCCAGTTCATCTCATTGTCGCATATTTGGTTACCGTTAGCCTTTTCCTCTTCTACCAGAGTAATAAGCTCTGGTATAGTATCTGCGTTCCACAAGTCATCACTAATCGGGGCAGAAAACTGCAGATTGTGCGACGAGAGCCGGTCCTGAGATTCGTCTTTACTCGGCACCTGCGTTTCACAATATATTGTCCACACGTGATACAAAGTCAGCGCGAACCGTTTCAATTCCTCAATACCGATCCAGATATGAGGAGCAATTTGAGGAGTCAAAGCTGATTGCTGGTACTGCTCAAGCATACTTGGATAGCTGAACATGCCTCTCTTCAGACTGCTGTTCACGAGAGCCACCAAGATCTCGTAATCGGGCGCAGGAAACTCCAATACCGCACTCGAGATCTGTTTCCAGGCTGTCAAGGGAAGTATGATGTTCAAGAGAATCGCTTGATAAGTAGCTATGGGCCAAGTCTTTGCCTCATTGGTTGCATCGGATTGAGAAGTATCCCATGCGCACTAAAGCAATTCATTAGCGATAATGGGCAAAAAGTAAGGGCATTATACATACGCGTTGACGCTGGATAGATGCCATCAGCGTTTGGTGCATCTCAATTGCTGTCTTCTTTGCACCTTTTTTGTTACTGAACCATAGGCCTGTCATTACCACCGAATGAACCAGTACTTGTGATTCCCTTTTCGGACGAAAACTCGACTTATGAAGGAACGACCATGTTGGGTGGAATTCGGTGAAGTATAAGGCCATGTATTTATCAAGCTCGGACATTTCCTGATCCAGGTTGAGGGGCGCGATTTGGGTGGGGGTCGAGTTTGTCTGTAGCGTTTGCTGTGATTGATCAGATGTAGCGGAAGTGCCATAAGAACATGACAGCTCTCGTTGCAAGCATGAATGACATGGTGTACCCATGCTACATTGTATTTTTCGAGCCTTGCAGTGGTCGCAAGCCCGAAGCGCTCGGGATCGGAACGACTCCTTGCCCTCGTGGTGTCGTGAAATATGACGAACTAAAGTGTCGCTGGAATCTCTAGGCGTTAATGCTACACAAAAGAATATAAAGCAAGAACACGTACCTTCGACCAACCACAGTCGTACAGTATGGGCATTTAAATTCCTTTGGTTTAAGATGCTTCTTCAAGTGGCGATTAAGATGCTCTCGCCGCTGGTAACTCGAAGTGCATTCAGGCCACGAACATTGGAACAGGGCAATATCAGGGTTTGAGGCCATCTCGTTGCTTTGGGTTGAATGTCTTGATGTTGAAAGATGCAGGGGAATGTGCAAGATGCAAAGACACATAGATCGAATGGCTGGATGACAAACACTCTTGTAGCTGTATCTAGCCTAGCGGCGGACCGGTCTCGGCTGCCGTGTGCCCGAGATGTTCTCTCCGAGCACCGATTAAGGGGATCTGAGCCTTGCAAGAACCCTAAAAACAGCGGGAAGTCAGCCCTGATATCGATGATTTGATTCCACGAAACCAACAGCTCATGTTTCTAATTGACTAGTCACGATGCCAACACACGACTTAACGCAGAAAAAGCCATCAGACGACTGAGGGAGAACCTGCTGCACACAACAACTACACTTGCTGCGGTTGACAGAACGATTGCGACACCTGAGCTCTGACGCCCAGCGTAGCTAAGTCTATGCTATCCGCAGGCGACAGGAGTGAACGCCTGATTTGAAGCCGCGCCGATCTGTATAGAGCGCGCCATCAGCACACGGATGCCAGTCCATTGAAAGATCTCGAGGATCTCATCATCCACGAAACACTAGATATACCATGAGAAGAACAGCATACCCATGACCTTAGCTCCTTACGCAACTTTTGTCTTATCTTCCTAATTGAAGCATACAAGGATACTGGAACATGTCGCGCAGAAACAATATCCCCCAGCTGTGAAAGGACACAAGAGCAAATGTAATCTTACGGTTGAAGGCGTCACACTATGGGAATCAGGCTGTGCAACAGATTATCTGGATTGCGGCCAGGCTGAAAAGGTCTGGTGGAACGAAACTTCTGCACCGAGCAAAACGAAGAATCCAGTCGTGACAACTCTCTTGCTTCAATTGATCGGTGGCTATTGTCTTTGCCCCAACGCTTCGACAATGCGCCGAATACATTCAGTTACTAGTTCTTCTCGTTGAGTGAAGACCATGCGGAACCAGCCTGGCTCTTCTGCACCTACGGCGTCCCCGGGAACCAGGTATACCCTTTTCGCCCGCAACCTATCTTGGATTATTTGTGTGCTTTCTGGCCCAGAGTATACCCGCATCTCTTCCTCTCCCAAGGATGTCTTCTCGCGCACAAACTTGCCCAGATTGATCCATAGAAAGAAAGCGGCATTGGCACCAGGCATGTGCTCAATGCTATGCTCTCGAAGAGCACGAACAGTTTGTTCATATGCAGCCGAGAGACGCGCTTGGTTTGTCGCGATGTAGCTCTCGACAAATGACGAATCGGATAAAAGGTGCACAACAGCGTTTTCTGTGAGAGATGACGCCGAGGAGTATAGGCTGCATGTTCGCAATGCATTAAGAAAAGCTGGGTTCGACTGTGAGATGACGGCACCCAGCCTTATTCCATTTGCGCCAAAATCTTTTGACATACCCCACAGAACATGAACCAGCGAAGGATCAATGATGTCCTTGCCACTGATTGACAAAACGGATTCGAAACCGGCGCGTTCGTGAGCTATGTCGTCAACGGTATTCTTCCATATGGAAAGTGCGTAGATCTCGTCGCTGATAAGGTGAATCTGGTACTTCTGACACAGTCTCATCAGCCCAATGAGTGTATCTCTTGAATAGCATCTTCCGAGAGGATTATGTGGATGACACAACATGAGTGCTCGAACCGGCATACCCTGTTTGTTCGATCTCAGCAGCGCTTCTTCGTACTTTTCCACGCAGTCTGAGTTGCAGGGATCGACGTCACCGAATGCTACCGGAACAATTTGGACTCCTGTCCTCATACCTATATCTGGTAGGAATGCGCGATAGTATGGGCGTCCAAGCAAGATGCCCTCCCCGGGATTAGCGAGAGTCCAGGCGCAATGCTCGATCGCTGATGAAACTCCGTTCGTGATAAAGATGTTCTCAGGCTTTAGCTCCTGTGTCGAGCGAAAATGGGTGCTCAAGAATGACGCGATTGCAGCTTTGACCCGCTTAGACCCTTGTGGGCCGTCTCCGTAGGTGAGTCCTTGGGCTGTGTCATCCACTAGTCGTTTTGAGTTGAGAAAGTCCGATAGTTCGTTGTGCATCAGGCTGTTCTCTGCAAGACCGAGAGACACATAGCCTTCAGGATTCGTCTTTGGGTCCCACATATTCGTGATTATGTCCCATATTTCCTGCACGGGTATCAAACAAAAGAGCATGTTTCAGAAGATATGATACGCACGAAGTCTTTGGCTCCCGTTGTACTCGCATGGCTACCGCGTTCGGAGAGCTTCGAGGTCGACATAGCGCCTGGAGATCGTTTTGGAATGTTTGGTCTAATAAAGATGTGTGTCGAGAATGGAGTTCTAGTGATGACATTCCAGATGAATGAACAATGAAGTTGTTATAGTCAAAGTTCATAACTGGGTCATATCCGAGGTCGGCAAGCCGGTGGTGTGATTGGTTACCTAGGCACTGCCGTGACATCAACCAAGCAAGTCACGCCCTTCCAAGTCTGTTGACATCCCTGGATCTACATCCGCCGTTTCTAAAAGTAGCTATATCATCAACCCAAATTGTGCCCAGGTTCGTGATGGCGCAGTGACCTTCGACACTCGTGCATCTTACTAGCGCTCGCGATGCCAAGCAGTCCTGACTGCGTAGGTAGCGTCGGCATCCCACCCCGCCTGATCGGTGGCTCCACTTCTGCTCTCTAGCTCCGGCATCCCACCCAACCTGTTTCGTCACCTCAACATCTCCTGGGTTCAGCTTCGGCATCCCACAAGGCGTGTTCCGTGACTCAGAATCCGACTAGTTTTTCCGACTATGCGCACAACTTTCGCGAAGTGTTGTTGTTTGCAACTAATTGTGTTCTCGATCAGTGAGTGGCGCAGGGCAGGGACGAACGATGCTATTACAAAGGCTTCACGGCTCCAAAGACTTTGTGCCTTAGGAAGCGAGAGCTGGAAATTTGTATGGATTCTCGAATGATTGTATTCGGCCATATGGCAATACAGCACGACAAGTAAGTACACAAACGTCTTCCACTCTCATATGACGTCTGCGCCATGTATACCTTGTAAACGTCTAGTAGCTTGCCATCGGCCGCGGCGCTTCATCGCACAACACTGGAACCTCGCCTCTACTCTCGCTCTGCTCAGCCTTCTCAATCATCCTCCTGTAAGCCGGTCTGTGTGAGACATTTTCAAGCCATCTCTTAATACCGCTATAACCCAACAAAGGAAAAGGAGTAAACAGCCGCATAGTCGTGACGATAAAGACAGCATACACGTCTGCAGCGGTGAACTCCTCGCCTGCAAGCCATTTGTACTGCATCAGGCGCTGGTCCATCATCTCAAGTGAATTCGTTATTTTCTGCTTGAGGACTTGCAGAACAGGGTGGGTCTCTTCGACGCCAGCTTTAATGACATAGATAAGAGTCATTGTCGTGCTCTGAAACGTTCCGATACCCCAGTGGTACCAAAAGGCGTAGTCTGAGAAGTTCGGTACATTGCTCGAAGCCGAGAGCGCACCGTTGCCATACTGGCCCATAAGGTAGTCCATGATGGCACCAGACTCCGAGATGGTGACGTCGCCATCTTGGATCACGGGTGCTGTACCGGTAGGATGACTGAGGATTAAGTTAGCGTCTACAAGATTGCTGAGCCTCCAAAAGGCGAGGAAAGTGACGTGTTACATTGCTTTGAGATCCGAGGGCGCTCCTAAGCTAGCACGCTCCCGCTGATAGATCTTCAGCTCATAGTCGATGCCGAGTTCCTCGCAGAGCCAAACAATCCGTTCAGATTGTGAGCGTTGGAGGTGATGCACCGTCAGAACCATGTTGAGATGTTTGACGTGAATGGTGATGGAGTCAAAATATTGCTTAACAAGACAGCAAACAACGAAATCAAAAACTGCAAGGTTATATAAAGCCTTATACCGGTGGGATGCCGTCGGATCGGTGCCTACGCGTCTTGAGCCCGAGTTATATGCGTTCTCGGAGAGGTGACAGATGCCGGCAAGCCCAGATCAACGGATGGATAGGTTCCGAACGAATGCCAACTTGAATTAACGAGCAGCGGCATCCCACCAGTCTCTCACCCCAAGAACTGGTTGTACACAAGGCTAGATAGCTCCGTGGAATTAGCACAAGATGAGCTACATATTTGAGTCTATTAATTTGATTGACGTGCTGGTGATAAGACGCAGGCACAACGCTGTTGAGTTACACTGTATTGTATCGCAGTAGAAGTGTGTTCCCAAACACTCACTTAGCTTCACTGTATGCAGCTGTATATATACTCATTTGGAAGTTTCATTAATTGCAACCAAAGCCATGAATCTCATGTAGTTTTAGAGAGCCACTATGGAGCTCTCAGCTCTGGGTAGTTGCCGTGAAGCTCGACGTTGAAAGAAGAGTGTGGTTTCGCTAGAGGTAACCGTAGTTGATAGTAGGCAACCAGGGTTTTGAACCATGGAATTCGAATCCCAGAAAATATTTGAACATAGACTGCTCAAATACTCTTCTCTCAAATTCCACACTCCAATATCTCGAGCATCATCGTCATACTCATCCTTACCATCTTCAACATGCAGAAAGTCATCACATGCGACCGTATCACATGCATAGAGCGCCCGGTTATGGAGGGCCTCACAGTCGGCTCGACGACGACGACGACGACGACGACGACGACAACCACAGCCACCACGCCGACAGCCGCCCATCGATACAGCAAGGATCAAGTCAGGCTCAGTGTGGACCGCCTCAAGAGTGACCTCAATTACCAGGTACAAGCTCGCATACAGCCAGTCAGCCTGTCTAAGTTGAGCCCAGAAGAGCTTAAGAGCAAGTTCAGTAAGGAACCGTTCAAACTCAAACTTCTCCTTGTCAGCACCATCCTCATGCTAGCCAGGATAGACATGAGTCCAGAAGAGGAAGCCTTTGCTCGTACCCAGGATACAAGAGTGCAGCGGTTGCACGACATGTACATGGCTCGTGGCGCAAGGACTGATGAGCAGAACAAATACTTCAAGGACGTCGTCCGTGATGGTCTATTTGACGGCTGGCTGAACTTCATCTGTGCTGTCATCCGAGTTCTGGAATAGGTACAACAGGAAGCAGTCGCAGATGCTGATGGGGCGGTGGACGATCGATTCGGCAACTCAAACGGCTCGGAAGATGACAACGAAGGACTCTGGTGGGCGCGCAACTGATCTGGTTGCCTTGGAGGCTTGGACGATAGAACCGCTGCTGAGCCATGGGTATTCGTAGCTGCTCAGTGGCAATAGTAATCGTGATCGTAATCGTAATCGTGATGGCACCGGTGCTTTGTGACGAAGTAATTGCTGTGATGCGCGCGATGATGCTGCTGCTGCTGCTCGATCTCTGGGTAGTGTCAGCAATGGCCATGACAATGAGTACATCCCGTCGCAGTGCAAGGCAGCTTGTTGTGCGGGAGCGAAAAGAAACGTTTGAGTACGCTGGATTCAGGCTCGGCTGTTTGAAATTTCCTTGATAACACAATATGATATCATGCGATAACGCGATAACGCGATAACACGTGATATGGAAACACTGTAGGCCCCGTCCCTGAGGCCCGGGGGAAACATATTTGAGTCTACATCACATTAGGTATCATTACAAGATGCGTGTTTGTCAAAAGCTGCATCCACGACCGAGAAAACTTTGAGTGTAAGGGAGTATTGCGACTATAGAAGGTAGAGTCTTCATATCGACGCATCAAACGATGCGCATCTCCAAAACTTCTACATGATTTGGTCATTAGACAATTAGGTCTCACGCAGAATCTATTTGAAAAGCTAGCTGTAGACCACACGAGCTCGATTACGACAGTGCGATCCTGTCTTTTCGATTTTTTTCTGTCAACTCCACACTACTTAGTGATACTCCCGCAAGACGTCTGCCGTTGCTGTTTCAAACGCTTTGCTCGGACAGGATTTCCCTAATGTAGTCTTCGAAGGATCTCGTCTTTATGTCTAGATAGAGGTTATTCCCATCGACATAGCCCAAGTACTTGGCATGATCATCAGTGTTCTCGCTGCGAATTTCCCACGAGTACCAACACCGATGAACAACCTTCTGGGGAAATTTGTCGTTGCTCAGGTCGCGAGAATCTCCACACTTGTTGATGCTCTCAAGAAGTTCGTCTCCGGAGATCTTGACACAGATGTATTGGCAGGATTCTTAGTGGAAGAGGACGGGCAAAAAGGTACGGTGCTTATATAACGGCGCGAGATCTTCTCGTTGCTAATCTTCTCTAGAAGACCATAGATCTTTGTCACAGTGGTCATCTCAGAATACACGAAGACCTGCTGATTCAAAGTCCGAGGGTCAGCGATAATGCGAGCGACGAATTTTCCAATGTCGCGATTGTCAGTAAATGATGATGACACGTTGCCGTCTCCAGGAATGCGTATATCCAAGCCACTGTGAGCATAATCGATACGCACAGAGGGCAAATTTGGCAGACTGAACTGGAACCACCAGCCGACATCAATGATGGTATAAGGCAGATTGCCTACTTTGCCCCTAAGATCCACTAGCCCCTTGGGTGTTGCTACGGGAGCAAAGAAGCAAGGCACGAAACGCTTGACTCCTGTTACCTTGACAGCATTCGTGGGAGAAATTTGCCTCATCGTGGCGGGAATGCTGATAGCGGCGATGACTACATCTTGGCCTTGTAGCTGCTGACCTAGTTTGCCTTCAGAAGCGTCCAAGTCGGCCGCTTAGATGGTGATGCCTTTTATCTTGAGATCGACCACATCGGGCTTCTCGAGTGAGGAAGGTCATACTAGAGCCGTGGTTTCCTAAGAGTTACTAGATTAGGCCTGTGTGCCGTGGAATAAAGAGCGAGATTCTTCTGAGAAATCTAACATACAAACTTGATTTCTGTCAAGGACAGTAGGCCATCCACGATTGATCGGCCTGTAGTGCCGCTGGCACCAAGAATAGCGACCTTCATGTTTGAAAGTATATGAACACTTGACTGTAAGGATGGGTAATGTAGCCATTGCGTAGGACATGAACATATTTATACCGGTAACAGGAGGAGATTCAGAAATTAACGCTGCTTTGATAGTCAGTATATTGCGTATTACCAAGCTCGATGAGCGCAAGACGCAGATGTCTGACGAAGACGATGACTAACAGCTCCTGATGAGCACCGGTATTCCACCAACGCTAAACCCGTCAAATATGGCAGCGAAGGGTGCTAGCATCTCGTAAGGTATTATGTACTCCGTGTTAAAAATATACCACGCAGATGTCGCTAGGAACTAAACTTCGTTTGTGGACCTTATGGTGCCTGGTGCATCATCAAGCATATTGATTTGCATTACGATCCCTAATTTACTTATGCCTCCTTGATCAACTTTCGTGTCGCACTCTCCATCCAGAGCTTTGTATACAACCTATGTAGCCACTGGATGGCGCCAGGCTGCGGTTGGTTGTTCTTACCATCTGGAGTTGTGTCTACGAAAACAGACTTGAGGTGGAAGGTAGCGATCTGCGCTTCGTCGTCTTTCGAGACCTCCATTGAGAACAGGCCGTCTGAAGGTCGGTGGTCGGCAACGAGTGGTGAATCTCCGCATCGCACAATTACCTGGAAAACACGCCGAGTCAGTTGAATTCTCACATAGGAAAAGAATTGCGCAAACTCACCTTGTCATCTGTATGTTCCACAACCTCGAAATGATCAACAATGGCAGTGCCGACCTTGTAATCGTCCCTCTCCAGCTGCTTCACATCCCAAAGCTGCTTATCCCTGCCCTCCATCGCACGGTACTTCCTCTCCAAAAATCTTCTTTGCACCCTGAATGCAACACCGCTCCAGATGCCCCTACAGAAATCCGTTGCCAATGCCGGTTGATCGACAGATATCCTGCCCCCACTACCCTTTACCCAGTACTTCTCCGGCAGCTTGCCATACGGAACCTCTTTTATGGCATGATCTATGCACACGGGTGGGTTTCCGTTGGGGTTGTGCGCGCGGAAGACGCTGGTGGTGAGGTCAGGCGATGAGGTGTCGTAAGGGACGAATTTGGTGTTGCGCGTGTAGAAGGAGGATACCGAGTAGGCGAGGAGGGCATTGGCACCTAGACCGCCGGTTATGCCCACGAGGATGCCGAAGAAGCGTTTTGGGCCTGATAGACGTTTTATTTGCGGAGGAGGCGAGATTGTGTTCATGGTGGCGGTGGGTGAAGCACCAGGCCGTAAGGGAGGAATTGGTGATCAGGGCCCTGTGTAGGGTGAAGGAGACGGGGACAGCTCAGGCAACGAGGGGTGTCGCGTGGGATGTGCCAAGGTCGGAGGATTTGGTGTTGCGGAGCTTGGGCCTTCGGTTCGCGGCTTGCATGCATTTGGGATACCGAAGGCTTGTCGGCAAATGCTCCCTCGCTCAAACACCGACGTCGAAATCCCCCGAGGTTGTTGCTCCAGAGCCACTGCAATAATTTGTCCAACTTTGTACACGATTACATTAATATCTACTACAGCTCTACTAGTGCAAATGCGCAAGTGCGATGCCAGAGTACGCGCTATCTGTCTCATAAACCTTCTTCTTGTTACCTCCGTCCATATCGAATCTGTACACCGTACCACCCAGATCCGTCAAATAAACATGTCGGTTGACGGCGTCGATCTTCAGTCCAATTGGTTCGTGGAAATGTCTCGCTAGCGTTGTGACACCTCTCTCCTCCTTCGTTCCAGCCTCTGCGCCTGCTTCGCTACCTACATACGCCTTGTTCAACGTGTTACCAAGCGGGTATTCGCCGCGATCTGTCCAGTACAGTGTTTGGCTTTCAGGCTCGAACTCCAGGTCAATAGGCTCAGGAAGGCTATCAAAAAGCAACTCTATATCCGAACGGGAGGATGCTGTCTCGCCATTTGGCATCTGCATGTTTGCGCGGAAGATGCGGCCTTTGCCACCCTTCGACGGACCCTTCTGCGACCAGTAGAACTTTCCTGCCTGAGGGTCGATAGCGATACCAACACACCACTTTGTCTGGTCCTCGCCGGCCGCCGAGTTGGCATCGCCTGTTTGCACGATAATCTCGTGATTGCTGCCGTCAAAGTCACATCGGTGGACTCGGAGACCCTCACGGTCACAGATGTACAACTTCTTGTTGTCATGGTCGATCTTGAGCTGCTTGGGTGTGTGTATCTGACCTTCCGGAATGACAGGTCGAACATCAGAGCCGTCGAGGTTCGCGGACATGACACTGCCGTTGTTCTTGGATGGAGAGGCACCCATGTTCGTCCAGAAAATGCGGCCAGCAGAGATGGATACATCGATACCATCCGGCATAGCTTGACCGCCAACGATCTCGCGCACGTTACTTCCGTCTGCTGAAGCTGTCATGATCTTGCCAGATGTAACAACCTTTTGCAGATCAGTGACATTGCCTCCAATGCCGATGTCTAGGAAGTACAGTCTAGGTGCTGCAAGGTTGTCGTGATGGCCACTCTCATCCTTGGAGCTGCGAGTAGTCTCGCCTGCCGGGTACAAACCACCCTTTCCAGACTTTGCACCTAGCTTGCCCTTCTCGACAAAATTCTTTTGAACCCAGTCGCGCGCTGTTGGATCGCCTCCGCGCTCCTGAACATAGTTGTTTTCGATGAATGCAACTGTGTCCAACCCTACCGCGTCCATCATCCCGCAAGGTCCAACCGGGTTATTCTTGAACATGGTCAGGAACAGTCTGTCAATCTCTTCCGGCTCCGAAACGCCTTCTGCCATGATAAGCAAACTCTCCCTCTTGATGGCAGCCCACAGTCGGTTGAAGATGAAGCCAGTCGATTCCTTGCGCGCAATAGCCGGCTGCATACCCGCATCGTTGAGCTTGCTCTGCAAGAAAGGCAGAATATCCCCATGTGTCTCGCCGCAGGTCATGAGCTCGACAACGTTGTTACCTGGTGGCATATAGTAGTGCATATTACACACTCGATGCCGATTACCCGCATCCACCTTGTCAAGCATAAATCGTGACTTGTAAGATGACGAGTTGGAAGCGAGAATACAATCCTTCGGTGCTTGCTGCTGAAGCTGGCCCATGATGTCAATCTTTAACGGAAGCTTCTCTGGTAACGCTTCAACCACTAACCACGCATCCTTGACCGCCTCTTTGATGTCTTTGACGGTAGTAAAGTTGCTTCGTTTCCTGGAGTTCTCGGTAAGTTTCGAGAACTCGTTCATATGGTGTTCGAGGTAGTGTGTTGCAGCGTTTCTCTGCTCGTCGCTAAGATCGCATAAAACAACTTCGTAGCCAGCAGCAACCCACGAAGCAGCAATTCGTCGACCCAAGACTCCTCCACCCAACACAGCGATTGGTCTTGATGATGTGTCTGGTGCCGTCCATTGTGGTTGGGTATTGCTAGACACAGATCGTATTTGCGTGTTCGACATGGTAGAGTAAGGTAAAGGCGTTGAGCGGGTGTGAAAAGATGACTTGTTCATTGTCAAACTTGGTGTCCGAGTTGTTATACGCGTCCCCAAACACCGCGACGTCGCATAGCTCACAGGAGGCTCGGCCGAGATTCTCCGAACGCCCTTCGGTAGTCGTCGTACGCATAGAGACATGGTCGCTAAAGGCGTGTTTCTGGTTTAGGTAATGACTCTTGCTGTTGGGGTGTTGCTGGTTCTGTAACTACGAAGCGCATCTAGATGCATGATGTATATACTTGGTAGCCACTAATGCTTCATGTAGGTGTTACGTCACTGCTCAACAACTGTAGACATCCGTGCAGTGCCGATCTAGCCTAGACGTCATTCTGACTGTGCTTTTTTGTCGTGCGAGATGTGCTCGGAAGTTGAAAGTACGCACAGCTTGTTGGGTAGAAAGGTGTCGGCCGAGGTATTGCTGGGTCTGGATAACTTTTGAAAAGAGCAAACTTCAAAAATACTGCGAGCATCGTGAACATCGGAGACTTTACAGACGCACGTGAGGGATGGAAACTGAATTCATCAGTTGATGGAATAGTCAACTTTGGCAGCTTCAATGCCTACGAAAGATTATGGAAAGATATCTAAAACAAGTCCTGAATAGTGCCCAGTCTACGACAACTCCACCAGTAATACCACTGCCGCCACCCCTGCAGACCCTAGAATCCATTGTCGAATGAAACTCAAACGAAAAGATCACTGGAAAGTGAAAATCTCATCCTGCGGCTTGGAGATCTTGCCAGGTGCCTTAAAGCCGCGTTCTTGCAGATAGTTGATCATGGAATCCATCATAGGATCCGGCCCGCAAACAAGAACCTTGGAGTCCATACCAGCTGGTGCAGGGAGACGCTCCTCAATCATCTTCTTACTAATCCGACCCTTTTCTCCTTTCCAGCTCTCCGATGGGTTGCTCAAAACGTAGTGAACCTTGAACTGGTCGTGCTTCTCGGCGAACTTGTCAAGTTCATCCTTGAGCAAAATGTCGGCTTCAGTCTTGTTGGCGTATAGTAAGGTCGTCTTGGTGTTGTCGCGGGGGTCTTCACAGATGCGGCGGATGAGCTGGAACATGGGTGTGATACCAGTGCCACCAGCGATCATTCCAAGTTCCTTTACAAGATTCTTGTGGTACTTCATCTCGCCCTTTGGTCCTCGAATCTCGACAGTGTCGCCAATGTTCAGTTTGCTCAAATAGGGTGTCAATTTGCCGCCCTCGTAAACCTTGATGGTGAGTTCCAGGCGGCCGCGGTCTTTGTTGCTGGATGTTGGCGTGTATGATCGTGCAAACTGCTTTCCATCTATTTCGTGCCTGATTGCGATGTGCTGGCCAGTGGGTAAACCAAGAACAGAGTTTTCATTGGGCAGGCCAAAGACAAAGCGGATAGTGTCGTGAGAAATGTTGAACTTGTCGATCAATGGAAAGGGCTGGTAAACACGAGCGTTGAGAACACCAAGGTTGATGTCCTTCTTCCTCGATGGTTTTGACGAAGTTGACTTGGCTTTGAAATGTGCTGGGTAGGATTGGAAGTCCTTGTGCGCGACGTCGAAGCTCTTCGTTGCCCATAGACTGGCATATCCAGCCAAAGCCATGCTGGCAAGAGAAGAGACAGCGAATCCCTTCCAGAACCCAGCGCTCTGGAATCGGTGCAGGAGCGGAGAAAATCTTCGACCGGCTACGATGGAGAGTACGACAGATGCGAGACCAAAGCCGAGCGCTGAAAGATGGAAGCGATACGACTTTGGCACAGGCAGATTGTTCACAACATGAACTCTGCTGGGAATAATGGTGGGCATTTTCGCGGCTTCATGGTCGGTCCAGTCCTCGTCTGCGATACGTCCAATGCGGAAGTTTTCGAGAATTTCTCTGGCGTCTGTGGAGTGACCGATATCCTCGTATGCGGTAGTCGCATCTGTGCCAGCGTTTTCGAGCAGGAACTCCTTACCACCAGGATGGTCTTCTTGGTAGTCTGTTACATCGTAGACGTGATTCCACAAGGTGACCCAAAGGTCAGTCTTGCTGGTATGCTTCGCTACCTCCTGAAGAGTGTATACACCGTCGGCCATGGTGTTGTGTGAATTGAATGAGATGGATGCGTTCAGTCACTAAGGGGGCGCTGAGAAGGTCAATGGCAACGGTGAAAGCCTTTGGCCAAGACCCTTCATCGTCGCCATAGCTTCATGCAGCAAACGTGCAACGGCCATACCGATCCACTACGTAGGCGCGACCGAGGTGTCGGACATGAGCAGTATCAAGATCTGTTGATGCGCCATGACAAATGACAGCGCTATTACAGCGACTACCACGAAGTGTCCGATGTTAGTGGAGCCAAGCCCCCACTTACCTCGGCACTTTGTGAGCTTAAACCAATCAAGCCTCCGCTGATAATCGGAGCTGCGACAAGGCGACTGGCTTCTTCCAAGCCTTACGCGCAATGATATCGCTGAAACGGTACCACAACAAAATTTCGATCAACGCTCGGCCGGGCTATTCGCACGACGTGCATTTTTTGCTTTACATTGGCGCGCATTGGGCCCCTCGGCGATTTTCGTACGACCACGCCTGCGCCAGTTGCTGGTCAGTGGCGATGCGTCATATTTGCACCCTAGGCACAGCGCCTGCAGATGCTGGGTTGTTGCGAAAAGGGTATACGTAGTTTGATGTGCTTTCATTTAGTCTTGTTGTAGTCCTGTTGACTGTGCGACATCTTCAAACTTCACTGCATCGCAATTATGACTATCAAAAGTTTTTACCTTGTTGGGCAAGACAAAAATGTCTTTCGCCAGGACATTCACATCGATCAGTATCATGACTTTGAAGCGCTGCAAGTCGCTGTAGCCGAGCAATACAACATCATCCAATCTACAGGTAGGCACACTCACCATTGAGCCGGACTCAACCTTACATTCCACCAGGTATCGCGCTGCAAGATTCCAAGGGAGATGATCTCCCAGACCTGGACGCTGTGTTGGACTGCGATGAAGAGATTGGCATTACTGTTGATGGTCAAGCCATTCGGGATCCCGCAGGCCCAGAGGGTCTTCCTTTCGTTGGAAGCTACTACGAGGTCTTCCCCGATCACCTTGTGAGTCGAATCTAACAAGACTGCGAACACCCATTAACATCTTTCAGGGGAACCATGCACGTCTTTTCCAAAAGTATGGATCATTGATCAAGTACGAGACGATGGGCAAGCAGAATTACTTGACCAATGACCCTGCTATCGCGACCGTGGCTTTCCAAGAGTCTGCGTTCTTCAGCAAGCACATTACTCCTGAGCATCCTTTGGCCGGTATCAAGGATAACAGAGCACTGTTTATTTGCGATACTGACACCGATGCATGGAGGCAAGCGCACAAGTTCATCCCGCCTTCCATGGCACCAAAGGCAATTAGACATTACACACCCTTGATGGAGGCCTCAGTAAAAGACTCGTTCAAGGTTTTCGACAAGCTTGATGAAGAAGGCGAAGCTTGGAATGTGTACCAATACATGTTGAAGCTTGCGTCTCAAACAGTCTTCAAGTTCGCGCTGGGATATGACGCCCATCATTTCGATAACCCAGACTCACCGCTGAGCGAGCTGGTCATCTTGATCGCTCAGTCACTCTCTTTGAACAAGAAGGTTGCCTCAAGAGGTGCTTGGTATGCGAAGCTCAGCGCTATTCCGTTCACAGCTGCGTATGACTTGGACAAGATTCGGTACAGGCTATGGACCATCCTCAACCAAGCGATCGATCAAGCACCAAAAGGAAGCAGCGAAGAAGATCTACCTTTGCATTCCGCAGCTCTAGGAGCCAGCTGTGTAGTTGACTACCTGAAGCGCGCCACCGATGACAACGGCAACAAGCTACCCCGAGAGCTTGTCATCCCCAATATGCTTCCCATTTCTGGTGCCGGCTTCACCACAACCTCGTCACTTCTATCATGGCTACTCTACTCCCTTTGTGTTTACGAGGGCAACCAAGACCGCCTTCTTCAAGAACTCGTCGACGCTGGCGTAAATGAGAACACAAAATGGACTCCAGAGCTCTCCGACGGCCTGACCTTCCTTGACAAGTTCGTCAAAGAGACTCAACGTCTTCACAACCCCTCTTTCCAACCTGGACGCACAGCAAAGGTCGATTGTATCGTCCCTGGCGGCTACAAGCTGCCTGCAGGATCCGTCGTGATCTGCGCCCTACACGCCATCCACAACAACCCACAGATCTGGTCGAACCCTGACCGATTCGACCCTGACCGCTGGGGTACCGAAGAGGTTTCCAACCGACCAAAGAACTCATACATGCCCTTCGCCACTGGCCCGCGTAGTTGCATTGGTTTCAACTTTGCGCTTGGAGAGGTTAAGGTACTGTTGCCGGAGTTGGTGTACAGGTACGAGTTCTTCAAGGAGGGTGAGGAGGCGGTATCATATGACCCTGAGTTCCAGCTCATCAGGCCGATGAACTTTTACGTTAGAGCAAAGAGGAGGACAAGTTACCCTAAGCCGACTCCTGGCGCGAAGAAGATCGCCGTGGAGTATGCCGAGGGCGAAGAGAAGCCGCCAATTTAGGTGAAAGACTTTATTTAGAATTCTGTGCCGGGTTGACTGGCGGATAATACTATTAATTTTTCTTCACTGCTTCTTTTACAAGATGCTATCCGCATGAGAATATAGTGATCATCACAGTGCTACCGATTATAATTTGATTACGAGCTATAACGTAATCATGGTTTGATCAATTCGATATGCCAGATATTCCATTGGCGTCATGGCCATCTCAGTCATCATATACAAACTATCAACTTCTGAACAACATCAGTCCAGCCTCCTCAGCATCGACACCAGCCTCCTCCTCACTCTCCACGTCATCATTCTCTCCAAGCCCCAACCTTTGCCCGAACAAACTACTGAACAATTCATCCCTCTGCCTATCACCCCATTCGCCTCTCTCTTCGGGTGCCATGAAGTTCTGCAGCTTCTCCTGCACAGTGTATCGTAGCCTTCTGCCCTTGCTAGCCTTTGTATCAACAACCTTCTTCGTCTTGGCTTCGCGAGCAACCTGCCAGGGCGCTTGTACGACGAACTCGGCGGTTCCGTTCGCGTTGAGATCGGCTGAGCGTTGTTCGAGAAGCTCTTTGAGCATAAGACCATAGAAATCGGCGTCATCGTAGATTGCGGGGTCGGGCTGAACAGCTTTGCCAGAGGACTGGAGGGGCGCACAGGAACGTGGGGTTTGGGTACGGGTCACCAGGTGCGATGATGTCAGCTGGGAGTCGAGGACTTCCGTCAGGGTCTGTTGCGCGGATGCGTTGAGGCGTGCCTTGTTGTTCGTGACGGTTGTCGCTTTCGTCTTGTTTGACCAGCGTTCAAGGACGGCTTTGCGGTGCGGGAGGGTGGTCTTTTCGCTGTCTTGGATATTCGCCCAGATCTCAGATGACGGCGTCGTGGAATCGAATGCCGTGCGCTTCCGCTTCTGGCCTGTCCGCGACTCCTCCAGAGAAAGTCGGAGGTTCGTGAGATTGTTCAGAAGAGTTAGAGCAGCGGCCTCGGCTGCCTCAATGGGCGCATCTTGCGCAGTCTCCGTCTTGTAAGGCTCTGCAGCCATGGAGTTTGTGGAAATCAGCGCCTTTTGTAGTCGAATGCGCGAGTTAAGTAACGTGTCGAATGTCTTCCGCTGGGTCTTGACAGCTTCTCCCTTTGCTACGTCGTTCTGCGTACCGGCGGCAATTGTCGACGTGAACGACTTGTTCGCAGACATGAGATCGCGAATGGTAGACGCGTCAGGCTTGGCTTCGTCGCCGGACTTTTCGTCTTCCGAGTCTTCGGCTTCATTGGCATCGTCGTCACTTCCGCTCTCTTCTGCGCTTCCCATTTCCTCGTCTTCGTCGCTCATATCCTCGTCGAAGTCGCCGTTTGAGTCTTCCTCGGCGCTGTCGTCTTCGTCGCCAAGCTCTATTCCATTCATACCATCTTCAATCTCGTCGTCGCTCGCTTCACTGTCCTCATCATCGAAGCCTCTAGCGAACGGGTCATCGCTATCGCTGTCTTCGAGCGCTTTGCGATCCACCTTGCGCCCAGTGTATTCCGGACCGAGTGGTACCTCAACTGGCTTCCTCAGCTTACTCTTTCCGACAGAAGTGTAATGTTCGCGCCCGGCATTGTCATCTTCATTTTCTGAGAGGCTTGCATCGGAGCGCTCGTCTTCGCTGGAGCTCGGCGCAGGGTCAAGAAGCGACTCAGGGTCGAAATCTGTTGATCGTGTGAGTGTTATCCTGCATCGCATCCATCTGGAGCTCTTACCTCTAATCTTGGACTTTCCCATGGCGTATAGGTAATCTGTCGTGCGTGTTGCTGGCAGATCGTGTACGAAGAGAAAGTTCACTTTGCCCCACAAAAAAGTTCAATGCCATCGGCGTTTCATTTCACCGATGCGCGTCACCTCCGCGATCAACTCCGCAAACCCATCTTAATCACGACAGAATGTTGAAGCCACGATTGTTCTCGACATTACGCTGTCTCCAGCATGAGAACCCTCTCGTATGACTATTACCTCCATCGCATATGGCGCATTGGCTGATGTCATGCGCAGGGTCTTCCACGCTCAGGCGCGCCTCCGCAGATGCCTCGGATGCAGCGAGGATTGCCACAGAAGAGGAACATCAAAGATGTGAAGAAAGTGATCGCTGTTTCATCAGCAAAGGGCGGCGTTGGAAAGAGTACCATTGCCGGTATGCTCCGCCGTTGGAGACTTGGCCAACATGAGAAATCTAAAACTATCACGCAGTGAATCTGGCCTTGAGCTTCGCCCGCCGTGGTTACAAAGCTGGAATACTTGATACCGATATCTTTGGCCCGTCGATACCAACCTTACTCAACCTGTCCGGCGAACCGAGACTTTCAGCCAGTCAGTCCGTGAACCAGTCCATCGTACAAACCACCTCTAACGATTGGTCCAGACAATCAACTATTACCACTGTCTAACTATGGTCTCAAATCCATGTCCATGGGCTATCTTATTCCAGAATCATCACCAGTAGCATGGCGAGGCCTTATGGTAATGAAAGCCCTGCAGCAACTACTACACGAAGTAGAGTGGGGAGGCCTGGACGTCCTGGTCCTTGACATGCCCCCCGGCACAGGTGATGTCCAGCTCACCATCACCCAACAGCTTGTTTTAGATGGTGCGCTCATCGTATCCACACCCCAGGATCTGTCCCTGAAGGATGCAGTGAAAGGTGTCGAGCTCTTCCGCAAAGTCGATGTAAAGCTCCTGGGTCTTGTCTGCAATATGGCGGGCTTCAAATGCCCTGGTTGCGGCGACGTACATGAAGTATTTGGAAATATGAAGAAGATCAGAGCCATGTGCGGGAAATATGAATTGAACATGTTGGGCGAGATTCCGCTACATGCTAGCATCAGCGACGATGCTGATCGCGGGAAACCGACTGTGGTAGCAGAGCCGGACGGGGAGCGAGCAATGGCGTTTGGGAAGATTGCACAGGAAGTCGAGGGTCTCATCGGGCTGGGGCGTTAACCGTCTGACAATGAAAGTTGCTACTACAGAAATTCCGAGACTGTGACTATCTGACTCAATTCCTCTGCAAGTCCACTGTCGGTATTGGCATGTCTCGTTGTGAAAGGTAGATTTCTAGACAATTATGCCTCTCTGGATCTATCTTGGGGCCACCATTACGGAAATTGAGGTATCTGCATTGCCTGCGATGACGTACTTGCAGGACGCAACACGCTAATACGGGCGTGCACGATCGTCGCACGTACAGGCAATAGCCCTCACGACATCAGTCTTCCTTCCTTATGTCCGTCGAGATACAACGTTCACGCTCCACATGTGCAGCAGCTCCATTCAACAACGAAACCCTCCCTGCGCGAAGACACTGTGCTACTACTTGGGGCGCACGCAATCGTCTCACTATGCCGCGCTGTTACGCGTCCTATTGTACGCGGTGGAACTGACCTAGCGACGCGCCATGAAGCAATCAATATTTGAGCTGTCCTTGGAAGAGTCCCAGCTGTATTCTCCATGGTCTTTAGATCATTTGACGATGTTCATATGCTGTATACTATCGTAATGACACACGCTTACAGATTGCTCAGACGTAACCACTTCACTGATTCATTATTCAAATTCCAGCCAAGCCGCGCGTCCGCATTGAGTACGTATTCAAGAGCTGTGTATAAGCTAAGAGGGTTGAGTAACAAATGAACGGTGGTTGCTCTAGGCGTAAAATAGACGACCGGTTTGGTTTAGCGACCTCGCCACTGCCTGAAAAGATGTACCCCGCAACAACCCCGCGCAGTATCCGACCAAGTTGTTGATCGGTGTTCAATACTAAGGTAGTGACTGTGCGTCCCGTTGTATGCTGTTCTGCTCATTGGTGCGCCGCGTAGCCTGTGTGAGGTCACACGAGGCTGTCAGCACTGGCGACTCATATACCCGATACCCGACGTAAAAGATCGAATGATGTAGGATCGAATCTGGACAAATATGCGCCAGCATTATTAGCTGCGGCCGCCGCATAGAACTGAAATATATATGCCTACCTGCATACTTAGTTCGACATAAATTGGGCTATATCGTAATACAGATTTCTTTCACAGCCTCACACCCACTTGATCACGACTTCTCCGTTCGACCACCCTCACCATGGCGCCAGATCTTAACGCAATAGGAAGCGGCCAGCGGTGGGACTATTCTACTCCAGGATCTGGCGGTTACAACATCCCGGACATAGTCTACGATGTACGTCGCAATGACTGGAATACTTCAGATCTGAACTGATGATCTTCAAGGACCCCTCATCTAGGAAGCTCAAGATCTTGACCATCGGAGCTGGCTTGTCGGGTATCCAGATGGCATACCAAATCCAGAAGAACACGCAGAATGTTGAGCATGTAATCTACGAGAAAAATGCCAACTTGGGAGGCACATGGCTGGAAAACAGATATCCAGGTATGGACATACAACAAGAATGGCTGAGGTTGAGCTAAGGGTTGCAGGATGTGCTTGCGATATTCCGTCACATGCCTACACACTCAACTTCGCTCTGAACCCCGACTGGCCTCGTTTCTTCTCGTACGCTCCAGACATACAAAAGTACCTCGAAAAGGTCTGCGATGTTTTCGACTTGCGCAAGTACATGACATTCAACACCGAAGCTACCAGAGCCGAGTGGCAAGACGACGTGGGTAAATGGAAGATCACCCTCCGTCAGAAGACGGCATCCGGCGAAGAAAGAGAGTTTCAAGAGGAATGCGACCTTTTTCTCTACGCTTCTGGTATCTTGAACAACTACAAATGGCCAGGCATCAAAGGCATCAACAGTTTCAAGGGTCGCATTGTCCACACGGCGACCTGGCCGAAAGACTACCAGAACGAGGAATGGAAGAACGACCGTGTAGCTGTTATCGGATCCGGCGCGTCTTCAATCCAAACTGTACCAAATATGCAGCCGCACGTAAAGCACATGGATATTTTCGTCCGAACCGGTGTGTGGTTTGTCCAAATCGCGAACAATTTTGGCCAGAATAAGGAGTATTCACAAGAAGAACGCGATGAGTTTCGGAAAGATCCGAGGAAGCTAGTTGCGCATGCTAAAGATATTGAAAACCAGGTCAATGGGCTTTGGGGAGCATTCTACACCGGAAGTCAATCGCAGAAGGACGCTCAAGCCCTGTTCAGAGAACGAATGAAGGAGTTTCTCAAGGATGAGCGGCTTTTGGAAGGCTTCACCCCAAAGTTTGAAGTCGGCTGTAAGTTTCATCTGATACTTACCGGAATTGGTCACTAATCTGCTGCAGGCCGTCGCATAACCCCCGGCGATCCCTATATGAAGGCTATTCAGGAGCCGAACGTCGACGTTCATTTCACAGCTGTCAATGAGATCACCGAAAAGGGTGTGGTTGGCGCGGATGGCGTCGAGCGCGAGGTCGACACAATAGTCTGCGCAACTGGCTTCGACGTAACCTACCGTCCACGCTTCCCCATCATCGGCAAAAATGGCGTCGACCTCTACGAAAAGTGGAAGAATGAGCCTGAAGGCTACCTCGGTCTCGCATGTCCGGACATGCCCAATTGGTTGATGTTCATTGGACCAACCTGGCCTGTAGAAAACGGCTCAGTCACCGGCCCTCTACTGGCAGTTGCTGAGTACACAATCCAAATCATCAAAAAGATGCAACGCGACCACATCAAGTCATGGGTTCCACGACAAGACATCACAGATCAATTCAACGAGCATGCGCAAGAGTGGATCAAGCACACAGTTTGGAAAGACGATTGTAGATCCTGGTACAAGAACAACGACACCGGGCGAGTCAATGCCGTCTGGCCAGGCTCATCAAATCAATATGCTGAGGTGATCGAGACTCCGCGATACGAAGACTTCGATATCCAGTACATGCACAAGAATCCTTGGGCACACCTGGGTATGGGCTATGCGATGCGTAATAAGCAGTTCCCAGAGGCTGATGTTAGTCCGTACCTGCAGTTGGAGAATATTGATCCGCAGTGGTTGAAAGCTATTGGGTATGAGGGGCCAGCGGGCGAGGTGCAGAAAGCAAGAGATCAAAAAGATGAGCCGGATGTGAACAGAACGGGAGAAGATGCAGGTCTGGGGCATGGAGACGGAAATACGCTAACATAATATGTTCGAGTGATATTGCCTGTGTACGTTACCATGCCATCATCTAATCATGATAGTCACAACTGGAAATCATAGTTGTAGCTATCCGCGTTGCTCATGAGATACTCGTTTACTATATAGTACAAGAGACATGCAATTATTAATACAACAAAGCAGCATAACCACTCATAAGAGAATAACCTATAACAGTGGTTCTCAATGTAGAGCTTCCTCATTTCATCATGTGCTCTTCACTGAGTATAAGAACGAAGTGCCTAGAATTGGGTGCAATAGCCAATGCTGCTACACGTCGCATAGCTATCTTGATATGCAATGCTTTGTCACCTCCAGTTGTCGCATCCCTGACCTGTAGAGTCGCACGGTCCGATGCGTTGCTTATATCCAGTCCTTGTACAGTCTTCGGTATGGAACCACGTTTCCCCGCCATCTTAAGTTCGGCGGTGAAACAAGGCTCGCCTTCCAAACCGTATGGGAAGTCGAGGTCTAGAAAGACGGTCTGACTAAAATGAAACCGAAAACTGCCGGCTCCACCCCAGGAAGCCGAGCCGTAGTATACATGCGGCAGATCAGTCATCGCTGTTTTAGTATCCCTACGATCTTTACACAGAGATTTCGATATCGTCCTGAGTTTGTCTAGAAAGATTTGTTGGCGAACTGGTGCGATATCGAATTCCGTTAGATTGATTCCTCGTAATGTGGTTGTGGTATTCGAGGGTTTAGAATTCGGCTTCTGTTTGTATAGATATTGCAGGTTGATCATGTTAGAACCGATGCATGCAACTTCGGATAGTATAGCTGGATCTAGCTCAACTCGGACTATCGAAGGATGCCAATTTTCACGATCGGCGGGAAAAGCTTCGTCAAAATGGGCCACGGATGGATTTACATATATGGACGTGTATCGAAATTCATCCACAGTGCTTCCAGGCCGGAGTACAAGACTACCCTGGTGTCGATAAGTCTTCTCATATCGATTCTCTCCATTGCCTATCTGTGACAACTCGACGCACAAGAGATACGTCTGGTTTGGTACGATTCTCATCACGGCAAGAAAGCCATGCCACGTGTTTTCTTGGTAGTGAAGGATTGGTAATGTAATATGGATACCGCGGCTAGTTACTTGCGGAGGCCTGGAATCATGCGGAGGAGGAAGTAACGAGAAAGGGGTTCTTGATAGGTTGTCGCGATCATGTACCTGGTTAGAGTCTTCGAGTTCGTCAAACAGTAAGTCAGATCTGGGCATAAAGGTACGAAACTGCCAAGGCGAACTGGCTAAAAGGCTCCCTGTCGATGAGTTGACATCCCAGGCAAACAAGGTGTAGTCTTCGTCAATGCGAAGTATCTCTTCTTGGAGTCGTAGGAACGCCCTATGGCCTTCTCCGTAAAGAAGAGCCATGTTGACACCAAAGATTCCTAGAAGGCAGTAAGCCTGATCCTCAACCCGGCTGGTTTCTCGACGCGCAGCCCAAGACATTCTTACTGCAACTGGGCAGTTGAGAGGGTTTCCACCAGTAAGTATCTTCTCGTTGATACCAGTTATGCCCGTCAGTCTCTTCTGAAGGCTACTTCGTGTCCCGATGTCTACCCATGATACGTTGTAGAATTCTACAATGCCAGGAGCGATGAGCTCTTGCAGGGTCCACCCACGTGTAAACCATCGAGATTTGCTGAAAGCTTTGTAGTCGTCTAGCTGCGGGTTGCCTTGCACGTCTTCCAAGTACGCGTAACAGATACAGGCTCCTTTGTACCATTGGTACATTGAGTTGATCGCCTCCGATAGTTCAGCGCTCGAGGTTTTGTCGATGCAGCAAGTGTCAATCCAGCAGTACTTGAAGCCATCGTCCTTAGCTCTTTTGCAACAGCCGATAAGCTTCGCAAACCCTTTCTTCGATGGCGCTACATTTGACAGAATATCTTGCAGAGTAACCTCCTCAGAGCCCCAAGTATGCGAGAGGATAACGTAATCTGGCACTTGGCTCTGCAGGAACTCTTCCACCTGTAACGTAGAGGTGTTGAGTAATCGCATAGCGAATCTCGAGTGGTAAAGAGAAGCGAGTCTTGAAGTGTTGCTTGTGGTCAGGTGATAGAAGGGGGAGTATCCCTACGAAGATCGAGATTGCGAGAATCCCTGGAGAGGAAGGTGGGGAAACGGACGCTAAACCCTCTTTGGTTCCACCGCTATCTCCCCTAGGTACTTTGAGACTCAGACGGCTACAGACCCCATCTCAACTATCTACTTCTCTGTGCCAGTAATCTGGATAGTTCCAAAGCTAGTCAGATATACAACATGAATGAACAGCGTGTCCCACTTGCAAACGCCGCATCGCTCGTCAACCCCCGCATCATTATCCACGGTGGCGCAGGCAACATAACGCGCACGTCCATTCCTCGTGATCGTTACGATGAATACCGCACGTCACTTCTCAATATTCTTGATAAAGCTGAGAAACTTCTACGTAGACCAGGCTCAACAGCGCTAGACGTGGCAACGTATGCAGTCTCACTCCTAGAGGACGACCCGTTATACAACTCTGGCAAAGGCGCAGTCTTTACACGCGAAGGCAAGAACGAACTTGAATGCAGCATTATGGTTTCAGATGGGTACAGCAAACGAGGTGTCGGCTGCATGCTGCTCAGGCATGTCAGAAACCCAATCAAGCTAGCACGACAATTGCTCATTCGTGGCGAGGAAGCGGATGGCGGTGGTGCAGCCGACCATTGTCAATACAGCGGAGACTTCGTCGAAGGACTTGCGAAGGAATGGGGCCTTGACATTGTAGATTCAGAATACTTCTTCACACAAAAGAGATGGGATGAACATCAGCGCGGACTTGCAGATGAGAAGAAGAAGGCCGAGACGGGTATGAGCATGAATGAGATGAGCGATTGGGAGAGAGACAACTATATTCCGCTTGGAACCTGTGGCGCAGTGGTCGTGGATAGCTTTGGCACCGTTTGCACGGCAACTTCAACAGGCGGATTGACGAACAAAGTTCCTGGGCGCATTGGGGATACACCGACTATTGGCGCAGGGTTTTGGGCTGGAGAGTGGTACGACGAAAAGACCGTTAGACCGCAGATGGTGTACCAACCTTCTGCTTCTCCTACCTCGCCGATCGACAAACTATCGAGAGGCGATATACGCGGTGTAGTAGACGATTGTATACCATTCCTCGGATCGCCCACGGTACGAGGGAATGTGTTGTCATCCACCAAGCCATACGAGAAGCCCGTGTCGACACGTCACGCTGTAGGTCTCTCAGGGACCGGCAATGGCGACTCATTCCTTCGTACATGCGCAGCTCGCACCACAGCTGCCAGATCACAATTCTCCGCAACATCACTCTCTGATGCGACAACGTGGATGGCGGGACCCGACGGTCAGCTTCAACGATCTGCTGGAAAGCGTTGGGGCGTAACCCATGAAGGCACCGGCGGTATCATTGGTATAGAGCTTGTCGGTAACAAAGTAAATGTTGTACAAGATTTCAATTGCGGAGGCATGTTCAGGGCATGGACAGGCGATGACGGAAGCCCAAGATGCTTGGTGTTTAGGAAAGAAGGCTGGGAGAACGGGCCCAAGGGTTGGGGTGATCGGCCAACTGCAAGGTATTGAACTCCACATTTGTGGTCCGTCCAAGGACAACTCTTGCTTCTTCCAGCTCCACTGCGCATCACATTATGGAACGCAAGACCAGACGCTTACCAAAAACGAGCTTTGACGTACGTAAATAGCAGTAATATTGCGACGTCGAGAACAAGAAGAACTTGAATGCTATCAAGCACAAACATGAATCTCCATAGTAACGTTCGATCGGAGTCACTCGGCTCATATCGGCGCCACTCCGAGCGGCCGAGCTGCGACAACCCGACGACGCTATACTATAAATCCTAAAAATACGCAAGTCGAGTCTTGCTGCACGGACGTGGATCGTGTATGCGGAGGTGGCTTCGGCCACTTGGGCATCGTCATTCGCGAAGCGGCCGTGTAGCCGGCGTCATGTGGCGAATCGGGAGGCTGGTTACGAGCGCTAGGTGCTAGCTGAACTATCAGCTCAAAGCTATTGAGGTACCACAGCTTAAACTTCGCATAAACACGAGAATGGTAGGTATATAGTCAGCTCGCCCTCATTCGCAACACTTTCATCACCAGCTCATTACCAGACTATTGCAACACTCGCTTCATATATCTTAGCATCTTGATATACTCTAATCGCAAATCAACACCCACAACAGCAATCATGCGTTACACCATCTTTACTCTGGCCGCAGCTGCCTCAGTCGTTTCAGCGCAGTCCTCTTCCTCTCCAGCCAGCGCATCTCCCACAGGCACCCTCATTCCCGTTGGCGAGAAGTGCGACCCCAACGGCACACCATGCGCACTCGGCGCCAACTGCTACGCAGTCAACTCCATGCTCCAACCCGTCTGCGGCAACTTCCAGGCCTCATGCAAAAACGACCAGCAGTGTGCTTTCAACACATGCAACCTTGAGCAAGGTCTTTGCAACGGCTTCATCGCTTCCTCCTCGGCCTCATCATCCTCGGCGTCAGCAACGATCACCACTACACCGACTGCACCGGGCCCAATGCCTGCTCCTTCATCAACCATCGTCGCCCCTGCTGGATCTCTGCCCCTCGGTGCCGAATGCAACCCTTACGTCAACCCAAGCCAATGCGCGAACGGTGTGGACTGCTGGGCTAGCAATGCCATGTTGATTGCCCGCTGCGGTAACTTCAACGCTGAGTGCTCCAGCGATGCGCAGTGTGCCTATAACACCTGCAGCAGCGGACTCTGCAGAGGTTTCCTGCCATCCAGCGCTATGCCTGTCCAGCCATCCAGCGCCATGCCCGTTCAGCCATCTAGCATGATGAGCGCGGTGCACCCATCCAGCATGATGAACGGTACCGTGCCCATGCAGCCAACTGGCACCGGCGCTGCTAGACCTACCGGTAACGGAACTGCCACTTCCACTGGTTCTGTCGAGTTCACTGGTGCTGCATCTGCCGACAACGTCGCTGGTGGTGTTATGGCTATTGTCTTCGGTGCTGTTGCTTTGGCTTTGTAGATATTAGAATTTGTAGGCTCTTAAACCTGCTGTATGGTATGTTCTGCCACCGGTTATAATTACCTAATTAATACGACGCTTTATGAAGATTATTCCTGCTACCTTCATCGCATATGCCATAGTGATCACCAAGTTTCCATCCTGTCTGACTATACGATAAATCCGCGCACGTGCACCTTATTCACTTTATATGAGGTACTGGCTCATCATCAGATGCTCTAGGTAGACCTGTACAATGACTGTTTATTCGCAAAGTCAACATGCTCAACGTGTGATATTCCACCTAACAGCTCGGTTGATCGGTACAATGATCAGCCGCAGGGCCTAACGCTGAGTCACCGAATATGTACACAGTCATCAGATCACCTTTCATATATATTGGTAGCGATATTTTGGCAATCAGATCTTGGATTGAGTGCTGTTATCCTCCCGAAATCGCATTTCCTGACTATACACTCGAATCACTTTAACAAACATCAAATCACGACTACAATGACGGACGTAGAGAATGCGCTCTCCGTAGCAGAACGAGGGGAACTGAGGCGCTCCCTGGCAGCTACAAAAGACCCATACATCGCCGCAATCCCAAAAGTCGAACTCCACATTCACATAGAAGGTATCATAAGTGCAGATCTGAAGTGGAAGTTCTCGCAGCGGAATGGCCAACCAACCATCAACCCACGAACCGGTCAATCCTTCTCTTCACTTGCTGAGCTTCGGGATTCACATGACACCTTAAAGCCGCGTACGGGGAACCGCATGGACAACAGTGAAGAGACTTTGTCCTTTTTCGAGGCTTACTATGGTGGCTTTGAGGCCCTCAAGACTCAGCAGGACTATTATGATCTTGCTATGGATTACTACGAACATGCAGCAGCGACGAACGTGCGATATGCAGAGATTTTCTTTGATCCGCAAGGCCATACGCGCGTTGGGACGAGTTGGGAGATGATGATGGAAGGTTTCCGAGCAGCGCAGCGGAAAGCTGAGCAGGACCTCAACGTAAGCTCTTTATCTCCCTTCGGAAACATTTTTGCTCACAATATACTGTAGGTGAAGTCTGCTTGGATCATGTGCTTCCTTCGGGATGAAACACCAGAGTCCGCAATGGAACACTATGACGCAGCACTCAAATACCGCGATATGATAGTAGGAATTGGCCTCGACTCCAATGAAGTTGACAGACCACCATCGCTATTTGATGAAGTCTTCGTAAGAGCTAGGAATGATGGCTTCCGTCTTACGGCGCACTGCGATGTTGGCAAGCCCTATCCTCTCGAACACATCCATCAGGTGGCGACGAGTATTGCAGGCACAGGGGCCGATAGAATCGACCACGGACTCAATGCTGCTAGCGATACAGATCTCATGACTCTTATCAAGGGAAAAGACCTCGGCATGACAATCTGTCCTTGGTCGTACATCCGCCATCAACCAATGGACGAGGTTTTCCAGCGAATTCGAACTCTCTTCGACGCTGGCATTAAGATTGCTATTGCAAGCGACGATCCAGCGTTTATGGAGGACACATGGGCGCTGGAGAATTTGCTAGTGGTGAAGAGGTACTGTGGCTTTACAAATCTAGAGATTCAAAGGCTGGCGGAGAATGCTATAAAGATGTGCTGGACTTCTGAAGATGCGACAGAGGAGATGTTACGCGAGCTGTATAACATCGAACCGGGAACTTAGATAGCTCAGTGGCATTGCTATATTCGCTATGCAATTAGACATTGTTATAGTGGCACTTGCGACCGAATCTGCAGCGCATCGAACGCGCCATCACAGCCTCTTTAGCACCTTGGTGTCCAATCGTAGTCGTGCAATGATGATAAGAAGTGTCGCTAAAACACCAGTCCCAGCGGCGTAGAAGATAGCAGCCCGATACGGTTCGATCGATGAGGCATCTGCCGCACCTGTAGCTTCAATCAACAGCCCGGCAAGAGGAGCTCCTAACAGGTAGCCTGGGGTCCAGAAGAATACCATCAAAGCAATCGACGCTGCAGCAGAGTGCGGAGCTACGACAGCAACGGCAGTAGGCAGACTGACAAAGAAGCTTCCATTCGCGCATCCGTTGACAAGAGCGAAGATAAAGAGAGGTGGCAATGATGTGCTCACTGGCCAGATGGCTAGCATGCTGACCGAATTGACCAAGCAAGTGATCATCAAGGTGTTGAAGCTGCCGATCTTATCACAAGTCAATCCACCCAGGATACGACCCACTGCCGTCGCAGCACCAAATCCGCCCACTAAACCCGCACCAGTCGACGCTGACAGACCGATCGAACTTGCAAATAGTGGCAAGAAGAACGGTGGCACGAAGAGAGCAAAGACGCCGACGGCACCAGCCATGGTCAGCGTAAGGAAGGGAACGTTCTTCAAGAGCGACCAATCGAATCGGGAGAGCGTTCCAGTGGTCGCACGTTCCTTCAACAATAGAGTGCATGGTATTCCAGTGGCCATGATAAGGATACCCAGGACGCGGAATGTCCACTCAAGTCCGAATTTATCGATGAGTGCCTGCGCTGCGAGGGGCAGTACGGTGGCACCTACACCACCACCAGCCTTGACAACGCCGTTCGCAATACCAAGTTTCGAGCTGAACCACTGGAGTGGCAGACTGTTTGTCGCAGTGTACAGCAGCGATGTACCAACTCCCACCAGCAACCCTGCGATGCAGAACAGCCCACCAAGATGGTCCAGCGTGAAACTCGTAGCAATTAACCCCACTCCAAACACTGTCGTGGCAGCAAGAGCAGTGTACCGCACGCCGAAGGATCTCATAACTCTTATCGAAGCAATGCCAAAAGCGACCATGCAAGCCATATACAGGCTGCCAACGAAAGTGATGGTACGCACGTTTGTGTTCAAGTTGGGTGATTTCAGAATGGCTGTTTGCAGGACGCCCCAGGCCGTTGTGTAGCCGTTGATCCAGAAGAGAAGGAAAGAACATGAGGCGACCACAGTCCAGCCATAGCCTCCATTGGGGATTGCTTCTGCGGCAGAGGGTGGAGGTTGCGGATCGGAAAGAGATTCAAGACCGGTTGAGTCATTTCCACTTGCATCAAGGCGAGTCTGTGAGTGCTGATCGGAGGAGAGGCTTTCCAACGGGATGATGGTCTGAGTTGTCGACATTTTGTGTTGGTTCACCCATGCCGTGTAAAGGATTTCTGTTTATATATGAGGGCAGCAGTATCATCGTGGTTATACAGGCTATCGGTAAAAGTAAAGGGCGCAAAGACATACGCCAGGGCGTGTATGAGCGCTAGGGCGTAAGTATGCAGTGCTGACATTGCTTCGCTTCGAGTTGCTCATTTGTAGAGTGAGGTCTGCCAAGTCGGTCTTTTGGTTAAACTGGGGGCGAGCCAGTCATGAACGTCGGATTGTGTATATGGACGAGGAACGCGATATGATGTCCTGCAAGGCTTCTGTGAACATCTCGATATCAGTCGCTTGCATGTACAGGACGTCGACTCTCCCAGCCACTCTCTCGTGAGGCTTTGATACGTCTGTAGGAGGGATCTGAGCACAGCTAGCTTTATCAGTAAGTAAACATACGGCGGACATGGACTCCCATATGTTTCCCTATAACTTCCGTAAGCAGTGAAACTGGGTACAACAATAACCTTCACCCTTCACGGGTGGAGACGCGGGATGTTTGATGATCCGGTGCGACAGTCGGGCTGGAAGGCGACAGAACTCCCCCAGATGCGATATGAAAGGCTATGTGGCGCAGTACGCTGCCACATTGTATACGTGTGCGCTGATGATCTATGAGTTGGGCTGTTAAGACTTGAAAAGTGGCAACGTCTGATGTGTCGCAAGTGTTGTTTCCCAAGTCGGGCTGAGCGTGAACGCGTCTCGCGAAGATAGCAGATTGAACGCCCAATCGCGACATTACACACGACGACTAGGTGACTGGTGCGCGATCCGATGCAGGCTCACACCCTATGGCGAAGCTGCGACGTGGGCGAAAGTGGTGGAAAGTTCAAGGCCATGGCAAGCCAAGGGCGGACGCGTCGTGTGCGAGGCACAGCCACAGCAAATGACATAATGCCCGCTGAATACCGCCCGCCATGCTTCCTTCCATCGGCAGCATAAGCAACTGGCCGCGCTCTTTTCTCCGCAACCCGTTCCTATATACCCCAACTCTCTGCTATTCTCTCCCCACACACGCGCCAAGATGGGTTTCAGTCTCAACAACCCCCTGCCCTCTTCCATGAGCAGTAAGTTGCTAACAGCCCACTTTGTTTATGCGCCGCTTGCGGGCCGGTGACGTCGCTGACAACTGCTCCCCCAGGCGAATGTCGCAAGACAGGAAAGATTCTAGCATCCTTTGTCGACCCCAGACAAGCCTTTGGACCCGACAAGATTATTCCCCCGAATGTTCTCGCCAATGCAAAGGTACGAGTGTTCCTGCGCATCCGGCGTCTGTCGATGCTGCCCAAGCAAACACTGGATGGGCTGCTAACACGCGTCTAGGGTCTCGCGATTCTCACAGTATTCAAAGCTGGCTTCCTCGGCACAGCGCGATTTGGTTCAGGTGTCGTTGTCGCTCGTCTCGCTGACGGATCGTGGTCGGCGCCCACAGCCATCGGAACCATCGGCGGCGGCTTCGGCGGACAAATTGGTTTCGAGCTCACCGACTTCGTCTTCATCCTGAACGATGCATCGGCAGTGCGTACGTTTGCGCAGGCAGGATCTTTGACACTTGGTGGCAACGTCTCTATTGCAGCGGGGCCAGTTGGTCGCAATGCCGAGGCTGCCGGCGCGGCGAGTTTGAAGGGCGTAGCGGGCATCTTCAGCTACAGCAAGACCAAGGGACTTTTCGCGGGTGTCAGTCTGGAGGGAAGCGGTATCATCGAGCGGAGAGATGCCAACGAGAAACTGTACGGCCGCCGATGGACTGCGCGCGAGATTCTCAGCGGACAAGTTCCCCCACCACCAGCCGCCGCCCCGCTCCTACAGGTACTCAACTCGAGAGTTTTTGCTGGTGTCGGAGG